GAATCAGTGGCCCCACTTGAACACCAGCCTTAATTTTTGTGGCCAAGTGGCCGATGCTCAAACATCCCCCCACCTTGAGTGTTTCAAGCAAAAAATGAAAAACCTTTTGGTGCAGGTGAAGGGCAGGAAGTCTTTCGAAAAGAGAAACGACTTCAAGTGAGAAATTCCCCTTCGTCTTTCAAACATTATCTCACACTTGCAAGTCTTTTGAGCTAGAAGATAAAAAAAGTAGCTTTTGAAAGAACTGTTGCCTGCTGGGCTACATCAGGTTGCTGGAACTGGTGTAAGCAATTTTAGCACAGATGACTGGTGCTACGTGCGGGGCAGAGGAGGGTTGGGTGCCTACAAAACGCTCAGCATCTCCTCCCGCCCTCATTCCTCTGCTGCAGTTTTGTTCCAGAAAAGTGCATTTTCTGCCTCCCTTGGGAACGTGTCCCTATGGCAACACACAGGACTATCTTTGACAGCCTGTTCTTTTTGTGACACTTCTCATGGTAACATTCCGAGACTGACAAAGACGATGTGAGATCACCCGTCTCCAAGACACCATTTGGATGATCTCGTACTGAGAACTTGTTTTTTTGCAGTCTTTCACCCTTCCAGCTCTTGAACTCTCGCGACTGTGATTTTATCTGAAATGTGTTGCAAAACGTATGTATTTGCCTTTATCAGCAAAAATCCGTAACCTCAAACGAGATGTTTTCAACAGGACCCACTTTCCATGAAGCCAAGCTGCCGAGTGTCATCACACTCTGCTTCTCTGGCTGCTTCCAAACTGGATCCCACACCAGCCCTTCCCTTCTTCTGGTCGGATGCTGACAAAGTTCACTCGTTCCTACGCCACCAACACGCTGAATTCCTAGCTACACTCTTTATACATACTGTTCCTTGGATTAACACCATTATCTTTTTTTTCTCACTTGGTTGGGAGTAAATATGCTACATCCGAGCACGGCATAAATTTGCCAATTAAAATCACCCCGTGCACTGCTGGCTGTGGCTGATAAGCCAATTAAAATCACCCCGTGCACTGCTGGCTTTGGCTGATAAGAAGGAGCGTGTGTGTGTGTGTATGTGTGTGTGCAGGGTGAAAATAACCTTGAGCTCCACGATTTGCAGTCAGGCCTTGAGGTTTCAAAAGCATAAAACTCCTCCCCCCGAAGGCAGTCACCAGCCATGCTGATGGCTCCAGGTGACGTCCTCAGCATCTACAGGGTCCAGGAAGCTTCAGACCCTTCAGAGTGATGCTCACAAGGAAACTTGTCGCACAAAGACCTGACAGCACAAGGTACAAGGGTGTTCTTTGTCTTAATCCCTACTGAACAGAGCCACACCACTATCGTTTCACACCAAAAAAAAGGTTAAAAAAGAAACTGTGCCCTGTGACACCAAGATTTAGATAAAACATCTTTCATTAAACAGCCCAGCCAGCACTGAGGTGATCTTCTCTGACCTACATTTTAAAGCTCACAAACTTCCAGAATTGCTTATTCCTTACCAAGAACCTTGCTCTGCCTGAGAGAAAAGTCGGGTGTGGATGAATATTGATGGAAATTAAGCCGTACATTTGCACGTCCATATGCCCTTTGAGACAGTGCAGGGGCACTTCGCTCAGCTGTGCCCTCCTGGCAGGTCCCCAGAGGCTCTCGTTGTCTGTGAAAGGACTGGAAAAATAAGGAAACACTGTCTGTACTGCCAAAACCAACAAAAGGATACACAGAAATAATGGAAATTACGATTTGGGGCTATCTGTCAGTCCTACAAGCTATGGTTATAACTGAGAGCTTCACTCACTCATAAATCATAAATTAAGAATCTCTTTGGAGGTCCTTTCTTGAAGGTGGGAGGCCAGCGTTAAAGTCGAGCCTGGTACTTACCCAGCTGATCTGCTGCATAGATCCAACCGATGAAAAAGAGGTCCTATGATTATCAGTTGCAGCAGAATGCGGATCTGCTGCATAGATCCAACCGATGAAAAAAAGAAGTCCTATGGTGTTCAGTTGCAGCAGAATGCATTTCATTTTCAGTTTCTGCTCCTTTTGTCCCAACCTCTGTCAACATGAAGGAAGACAAAGCGTGTGCCACTGCCCCAGGAACAGTGAAGGGGGTTTTGAGGCTTCAGAACAACCAAGTTTAAAGACAATTACTTTTAATTTTACATAAAGTTGGGAATAACCCTGGCCATGGCAATGGAAACTTTAAAATATTTTTCTGTATTTTCAATTGACTTTAAAAAAATATTTTTCTGTTTGGTTCCATTTTTTCTGTGCTCATCTTCCCGTTAATGTTTGTGCCAAGAACCATCGTGAAACCCCTCTGGTATCATCAATCCATAAATAAGATTAAATAAATAAGGTTTATAATTTCTACAGATATACACACGTGCACAGTTCGGGTTCATAATTAGGCAGAAAAAATGTCAGACCCATGAAAAGGAAAATGCAGCCCGTTCCGTGCTGGGTGGTGGGACTGAAGAGGGAGGAGGGAGGTGGTGACTGCCTGAAGATCCGCGTCCTGGCCGCAGCCGGGAACGACAGATGGTGTTTGTGGAGAGGATAGAGCCTTACCTTCTGATTTTATCCTGGAAATGTCGCTGCAGAGAAAACTATCAACATTCACTGTTTTATCTCACAGATTTAAGAAATACAGCCCACAGGGAAAAAAAATACCAGGATTCCTGCTGGAAAACACACCGCCAGATGCAGCTGGAAATCCCAATTAAAGGATGCAGTTTTGTTTATCAAGAGCCACTGTCAGCCATTGCATGTATTTTATTTTCTCATTAAGGAAATGCACTGAGCATATAACAGAGATGACATTCCACACAGATTTAACATTACAGAACAATCGGAAAATAAAGATACAATCAATACATATTTCCTGTAGCAGAACAGATTGAAGGAACTGATTCAAGCTGAGAACGAAACGAGAAATACTTAAACCAACGGAAGTGATTTTTAAACAGATGAGCTATTTATGTATAAATTAACATTCTCAGCTGAGATCTGTTGCATTGGTGCCATCTTTATACTCAACAGCTTTATCAGACTTGCGCCCATCAACAAAGCATAGACCAGAGCTGCCTCTTCTGAGAGCCAGCTCCAACAAAACCCCAGAAGATCAGTCTCAGTCTGAAGCCACCACCTACAGGACATGACAAAAGGACCCAGACAGAGGAAAGAGCACAACGAAACAAGGAGACAGTTTGGTCCGTGTGACGGGCAACAGCTACGAGGTAGGTGAGGGTTACACTCTACATGGAGGTTTCAGTCATTATTTCACTTGAAGCAGCTCTCTAGAGTTCACAACCTGAATAAAATGTTTGCAAAAGTGCAGAATTCTATGACACACTGCCTGGAACTGATTTTTCCAAGAATTATACCAGAAAAAAGTCACAACACAAAGCTAGTGGAAAAACTGCTTTGCCACGTATTTTGTGAGTTCCATAAACTTGACAACCAAATCTTTTTCTAAATGGGCAACTAAAACTAGAATTCGAAAGACCACCTTTACTTCAGTGACACCAGCTGGACTTCAAGCCATGTTCTGTGCTGGAGATTAGACCAGATCATCACAGTAGGGCATTAAAATCTACAACTACCACTCATCTGCTTGTCTGTCCCTCTGAGCTTTGAACCAAAGGAGGAACCTCCCTGCTCTCCAGTATCACAGACCCAGGACCCTGCTTAGTGCTATCACATCATGCGTTATGTCATTTCTCTTGCCTACTTTCAACATAACCACGCCAAAAGACCATCACTAACTGGTGATGCACAATGCCTTCTGAGATGTCCCACTCTGGATCATTTACTGGGTAAGACTGCAATGAATGGGATTATTAACAACGCAGATATAGTTTCTTACATCTCTAAAGATCTGCATGTAATTTCATTCACTTTGCAAAAAGAAAAGAATACATAAACCACCACAGATCAACCCAGTCACATCATTGGAAGGTGAGATATATACTCTTACTCCCAAAGAATGAAGTTGAGGAGAGTAAAGAGTTAACTACATAGTTGAAACCCCAAGAAGGATGCCCCATCCCTGGAGGGGTTCAAGGCCAGGCTGGATGGGGCTTGGAGCAACCTGGTCTGGTGGGAGGTGTCCCTGCCCAGGGCAGGGGGTTGGAACTCGATGATCTTTAAGGTCCCTTCCAACCCAAACCATTCTATGATTCTATGAATTCGGATAAGCAAAAATATTATTACTCAAGTTATAATTTGCCTACAAGCCAGGGATTAACCACTTACTTGTTCTCAAAACCAGCAGCAGAGATAGAATAAGCTGATCTTTGGAGGGAGATTACCAGTTCAAAACAACTTCCAAGCTCTTTTTTTTCCTTCTCTTCTTCCAATGTTGTGATAAGATTCTTAGAGGATCAGAAAAGAGATGACTAAAAGGGTTTTTTCCCACGAAATATACATAATATAACATACCTCCATGCATTGTTCCCTGAATTACTGTCTCTTACCAGTTTGTATTAATACTAAATGACCTTTATTTCAAGTTTTCTGGCTTTGTCCAGCTCGCAAATATTCTCTGAAAGACTAATTTGCTTGCTAGAATTTTCAGTCACTTTGTGCTTGAAAATTTTAGCTTGCTTTTGAATGGCTGCCAGCAGTAAACAGCAGGTGGAAGGTACTGCTACTACCCTACTACAAGGCTACTGACGGCTAAGATTTCTCCTTCTCCTTATACACACTAGCTAAATCGTAGGAAAACGTTGAACCTGATGATCTTTACGGTCCCTTCTAACCCGAACCATTCTATGATTCTAGATTCACCCAATCAACCCCTTATAATAAACAAGAAGAGGGCAGCGTTTCTTAAGTACAGGTCAAGACATTTAGCAGATGGAGCGATTTTGATCTGAACGTGCCACGTTCTGCCTACTGCTTTTTGCCTACTGAGAAATATGGTACATGGAGTAATGTGATTAGGAAATATAATCATTCCTTTCTAAGAAGGCAGACTCGTTGCTTCAGAATATTCATTTTTTCTCCCCTCATGTCATCTTCAGCAGCGGGTGCCACAGCAAGGTGAAGAGGAGGAGGCAGAAGTAGCCAGTGGAGGTGGTGAGTCTGGAGGCCAGGCTTTTAGCGTTGCAGTTGTTGGAGTAGCAGCAGTGAACGCTCACTCCGGGTGCTCTGGACCCGTCCCTCCTCGCCCGCTCGCAGAAGGACCGGAACGAACAGGACTTCATGATGCCACCTGGAATGGAGACACATTGAACCCAGACAGTCTGTGGTCCCCCACTCCCGTCCACATCCCCACAGCGTCAGCCTGACCCTCCAATACTGGGCAGCAAAGTTAGGTCTGGCATTTCCGTACAAGTAAATTAATACAATTGCACCAGATGATGGCAGACTGACAAGTGTGCTTATTGATCTTAAGTTCAATAATTGTAATTTATCTTAGATACAGCTGATGCACCTTAAACATCTCTGAACGTGCTCCAGTGCTGCACCTCCTTAGCTTCTTTTCCTTCCTAATTTCCAGGTAAGTCATCTGACTTTAAAATAACAGATTTAAGTACGAAGTGGGCAATACTTAAAATGCTTTTTTTACAGCTTTCCCGTGGTGGGGATACGGCTGATGGTCGTGACAGGCTGACAGGTCTGAGCTGGTTGTGACTACTTACTAGATTGTCCTCTGATGACCGCACAGGCGTCCGAATGCCCCGGGCATTGCTGGGTCCCTTGTCTGTTACAGTCCTCGTCGCTGGAACCTACGCAGGTGTAACACTGCAGCGCGTCGCCTGCAGGAAGGAGACAAAGGCCATTTATAACAGCAGCGTTCAGAGCTTACAAGAAACATTTTAAAATATCCACTAAGAGCTCTTTCCAGTTTTGTTTGAAGCACATGCAAAAATGGCAAAAAGGTTTAAAAAATATCTAGGGATGCTGCAAATCCTATCAATTTTTCTTTTTTAAAAGTGGTTCTCACGTTGATTTTAAAGATATTTTTAAAAAGCCATATATTATTATGCTGTTACAACTTGCCCTAAAAATAATCCAAGAACATCTGATGTTCTGTAACTTCATCCACACCTTCCTGTAACATTTTCAGAGCAGAGCCCACCATAATTATTTGGAGTACCTTGAGTTTTCTCTGTTCGTCATGGTCTTTGGTCCACAGCGCCATGAGAAAGTGAATTGTAAACACATATTATCTTACTATAATCCAGATTTCATTTTCTCCTAAAGTATCAATTAAGCCAGAACACAGCAGTGTATCTTTAAAAGTTTTGCTTTTGTTTAAACACTACAACCACAACACGATCCTCTTTCTTGTCTTTGGTTCAAAATACATGGTTTTATCAAAGTCAAGCATGAATTTGACATATATTTAGGATTCCATACTTCAAACTTGCAGAGCAGAAGGCACACTCACTGTCCGCAGAGACAGGTGGATTTAAATTAGTTAACATACATATTTAAGGGAGTATTACATAGTAGAGGTGAAATTCTGTGCGCTAACCACATACAGAACATGCTCTGAAACCAAACCAACCCAGTAGAGAAGCCCAGAACACAGAGAGGCTCAGCCACGTCTGAAGGAGGACATTAAAAAGAAATAAAAAAAGGCAAGAAAAGGGATTTGACTTACTTTTGAGTACAAAAAGGGAGCTGACAAGAACCAGGCTGAAGACTGTCCTCATGGTGGAGATACAGGCGATGCACCATTACCCAAAGAAAGCAGTTTGTTTGCTATTAAAGCCTTAAGGCTGGTCTTACATCCCTAATCCTCTGCAGGGGATAACTCCTGGGATAAAGAGGTGTGCGAGAACGCTACTTATCTAGCTTATTCTGGTTCTGCTTCTAATCACACGTACTTCATCTCCGCAAACCCTGCAGGCAAAAACCTTCCAGTAGCAGGAAGAAGAAAACACATTCACCTTTCAGTGACAGAAATGCCTAAACCCCAGCACCCCGTCACCGCACGCCACGGCCTCCAACGCAGGGAAACGCTCCCCTTACGTTCAAACGGGATTTGCTGGATCAGGGTCAGAGTATTAAACATTTTGGAGGAATAAGCCAATGCCTGAGACCTGACTGGTCCAAATCTAGCTCATATACACATATATTTATAGAGAGAGCAAGACACAGACGTAGATCCGTGCACAGAAGTAGTATATTCTTGTGACCCACGGAGCGCTCCAAGCAGTGACCCACGAAGTGCTCTCTGTCAAGGGATTCATTAATAAGAGCTTCTGTATCTGACTCTACACATGAAGTACATAAAATAGAGCCATACTTATCTTCAACTTTCAACGAAAAAATTTATTTACAATAGAGAATTTCATTTAAGTGACATGCATTTTCTTTTTTTTTTTTTTTTCCCATTTTAAATTTTATTTTACAAATCAGCAAATGCAGATAAAGTTTACACTCCTTAAGGCAAGAGTCCCCATGCAAGTAATACATGTTTATATTAAATCCAAAAGACATCCAACATGGGAACTCATGTACAAAGGGAAGGCTAGGATCAGCAATTTGTAATTTCTTAGAGAACTTGACAATCTCCCTGATACAGGAACTTTGAGATCAACTTGCTATGAATTATACTATGAAAATGCAAACAATAGCAAGAAATTCTGATAGTCATCTTAGTACTGCATACAATTAAATCAACTTTATTTAGAAAGAAAATACAGTAGTGCATACGAAAAAGTGAAAATATAACCTGTCCACGTAAACGTATGGACATCAGTGTGCCAATGGTCATATTGCACTCAATATCGAAGTCCAGAAATTTGGTTAAAAGTTAGCTTTTCCCCATTTTGGCAATCAGTTCATCACAAATCTTTGTTAATTCTTCTATCTCTTTATTCTGGAAAATAAAAGGCAATATTAAGTATTACGAAGGATATTGTTGCATTGAGGTTTGTTTGTCTGGAAAATAAAAGGCAATATTAAGTATTACAAAAGATATTGTTGCATTGAGGCTTGTTTGTTTTTTTTTTAATTACTGAACCTTTGGGAGGAGTGTGGGACAATTAAGTTTTCTCCAATACTGAGAATATAGTTTTTTTATATATATATATGCATATGTAGTACTCCTACATATACTGCATTCAAACATCATGCTAATTATTTCCACATCCAGCTCCTCCAACTTCGATAAACACAATTGAGCACTAAAGCAGACAGTTTTATGGCAGCCATCTCTAGCACACAGTAATAATACAGAGTTTAAACTTGTTTCTGGGCTGCACTTTTACAGCGTGAAAGTGGAAATGGAAACAAAACCCAAAAGAAGCTGTGGGGCCAGCTGGAGGTGAGGAGCTGGAGAGGTCCTCGGTCATGGTCTGAGCTCCAAAGGAGAGCTGGATGCAGCCACAGTGGGGAACTTTCAGTGAACTTTGGTCATCCCATTGATTTCTGAATTAAAAGAACCAAGTTGCCACTTACTTTTTGTTCCAGTGTTCTTTCCAATGCGTCCACTTTGAGCTGCTCTTTCCGAAGGCTGGCCTGATAGGCAGCTTGCTCTTGCTGAGCCTTGCCTCGCACTTGTGCAATTTCAGCATTGGCTCTAGAAAAAACACCACAGATTTGTGTCACGTCTGGTTCTCTACAGGGAAGGACGGCAGGTACTGAAGGATGGACTGAATTTTAACAGAGGGGTGGTGAGGGCAGGGTTACTTTCTGCCTGTCTTTGAAAATATTCTGAGACTTGTCCCTAGAGACCCTTCATGACTCCCTCTCTTGCTCAGCAGCATGAATTCCTGAGAAGAGACATGTGCAATCCATTACCTGTCCAGTTTTTCCTCTGCGTGAATTTTGAGTGCTTGATACCTCTGCTCTTCCTTCTTCACTCGTGATAAATACTCCTGCGCACATTTCTTTAACACTTCTTCATTCTAAAATGAGAAGATTACATTAAAGTTAATTCTAGGGGTTGAAGAGTAGGACAGGCAGCTGTTTGTTGGGGTTGTTCATCCTGGAGAAGGCTCTGAGTAGACCTTAGAGCCCCTTCCAGTATCTGAAGGTGGCCTACAGAAAACCTGAGGAGGGACTCTTGATCAGAGAGTGGAGTAATAGGATGAGGGGTAATGGTTTTAAACTGAAAGAGGGGAGGTTTAGATTAGGTATCAGGAAGAAATTTTTCACTCTGAGGGTGGTGAGACCCTGCCCCAGGTTGCCCAGAGAAGCTGTGGCTGCCCCATCCCTGGAGGGGTTCGAGGCCAGGCTGGATGGGGCTTGGAGCAACCTGGTCTGGTGGGAGGTGTCCCTGCCCAGGGCAGGGGGGTAGAATGAGATGATTATTCATATCCCTTCCAACTCAAACCGTTCTGTGATTCTATGATTTTCAGCACTCACATTCAGATATTTTAAGGGCTGCAGCCTAACATGGACACCCCTCCACCGAGGCCATCTGAAGTGATATTACACAATGCACAGAGATTTACAATTCTGCTGTTTGCATTTGACTCATGGCTGGAATCCTTCAGCTGAGGCTTACGTTATGTCATGTACTTTAAACATGAACTCTGACCTGAGGAATTCATTTAACAGAACACTCAGTCCTCGGTCATGGTCTGGGACATCTATCACAAACTGCTGTCTTCCATAGTACATCAGATCCAACTGGAACTAAAGATGTGCCCTGTGCTAGGACAGGAAAAGGGACTTTAACAGGACTTACCTTCCGAAACCCCTCCAATACTTCTTTCATTTTTTCATATCTCCTGAAAAGATCTGCCAGTGATTTCTCCACCGAGTTCAGATCTGCCAAAGCTTGTTCCTTCTCCACAATGAGCTGCTGAACGGTGTGATGGGAGACAGATTTCTCTCTCTGTTCATCCTCTGTTAGAAAGAAGAGAGGGGGAGGAAACAAAAGTGATTTTCAGAAGGATCACAGTAGTCAGAACACTGATTTCACTATCATCTATATTTTCTACTATACTGTGCTCTATGTCGGGTATTAGTAAGTTTGCAGGATCCAGAAGTCATTTTTATATAAAGACACAATTCTGTTTTGGAAAAAGGTTGCTACAGGGATATTTAAAAATATTTTGATGTTGGGGAAAAAATGTGAATCTATCTTTGTACTGATGATTTATTTCACTCTGAACTCAGCTGTTCCCATGAAAAAAGCAAGTGTTGGACTTCCCTTGTTTGCCTGAAGATGCACTACGATGCTGAAGGAAAAGACATTTTTGCATAATACTAGCACTGGGAATAAATTATCTGCCATTGCTGGTATGTGTTTGGCAACTCTTCTAATCCTGTACAAACACAGCACTTTGTTTAATGGAATTCAACTCAAATTCTTCCCTTGGAAAAAGCGTTTTGCAAACTCTCATTCCTAGGATTACTGTAGGAAGTGCCAGAAAGGAAATCTAACATCAGACAGACTAAGTTCTGGTCTGCAGAAAATACTTCCAAGCTTCTCCTCTCCATAGTTGAATTTGAGGCAGGGACGGTGGGAAGAACACAACTGGAATCCAAATCCATATGACAGAGACCTTTTCAAAGGAACTGACAGAGCGATAACTTGGAATACTCATATAGCACTGGAAGAAAAGCTCTGGCATTGGCTTCCAAAATGCTTCCTTGTTTGCTTCATATCCTAAAATATGATTCTTGTGTCCATGCCTTAAGGGCTACTTTGAGTGATACTGAAATAAAAAAAGCAACCTGCAAAACACAGCAGTTTTATATTGCTGTTTTCCTTTGTCTATGATGGAAGCTAAATAAGGTAAGAGGTTCTCCCATGTAAAAAACATGAGGTATTTCAGAATCTACAAATTTTCAATCAGGCCTTTATATTTTGAAATAGAAAGAAATAAACAAGAGGTTGTTTTTTTTTATTTGAATAAAAGTCTTCATCTGAATAAAGTATTTCATAGTGCTGGTCAGCTCTGAAATGTCAAAGTTGATACTGTCAATTCCCAAACTGAGATTAATCTCTTCCTTTTGCATATTCAAGCCTTTTATACGCTTTTTTGCTGGTCTAACTAAAGCCAGAGCAAAGTCTTCATCTGAATAAAGTATTTCATAGTGCTGGTCAGCTCTGAAATGTCAAAGTTGATACTGTCAATTCCCAAACTGAGATTAATCTCTTCCTTTTGCATATTCAAGCCTTTCATACGCTTTTTTGCTAGTCTAACTAAAGCCAGAGCAGCGATGATGCCCCAACGAGCCTCAGCTCACATATTCTGTTTGGTTCTCTTCTGTTTTGCCTCCTTAAAGACACTTAAAGTGATAATCCGTAATGTCAAAATAAACATATTCTCATGTAAAATGAGAAAACGTTTGTCATCCTTTGTCTATTTTTCTAAATCTGAGAATTTTCACCTTGTGTTCCAGCACAAAATTTGTTCAATCACTCCGCAGCGATGATGCCCCAACGAGCCTCAGCTCATCTATTCTGTTTGGTTCTCTTCTATTTTGCCTCCTTAAAGACACTCTGTGATAATCTGTAATGTCAAAATAAACGTATTCTCACATAAAATGAGAAAACGTTTTCATCCTTTGTCTATTTTTCTAAACCCGAGAATTTTCACCTTGTGATCCAGCACAAAATTTGTTCAATCACTCCAGAGATTACACGCTGTGGAGCTTAATTCCAAAGCACTTACTGGCAGGAGCCTGTTCTTTGGCAAAACCTCTGTCATCGCAGCTCCGTGCAGGGGAAGGCATCCATTTGCAGGATCACGTAACGTACTTAAATGTATTTAATGTCACAACTTTACTTTTTCTGAGACTGCTGCCTGTGGTATTTTATCAACCTCCTCCTAATTTGTTTCTAGGGCAATCTAGAGAGTTAGTACTTCATGATTCTCCTCCCTCGCATGATTCTCCCTCCTCTTCCCATTCCCCACCTCGCTCCTCAGCTGGACCAGCTCCTCTCCTGCCCATCCCCAGCAACCAGCACAGGGGAATTCAGGGCAAGTGATCCCCAATGCTCCCTTTCTCCTCTCCCTTCCACTACATGCCAGAGGTGCTCATGGACTGGGGATCTGGCTGGGACCACCATGAGACTCCAGGGGAAAATGGGAATTTATGTTGGGGGAGTGACAATGAATTGAAAAGAGAGAAAGTTGCTAGTGAGTGTTAGGGAAGGGGCATCCAATAATCTCTGATAACAGTTAAGATACTGTAGTATCTAACCAAAGTGGTTAAACACTACAGAAAACAGAACCCAGCATCTGGCTGGAGGGGGACTGGAAGATCTGTGTGATATTTTCTAAAACACTGATTTAACTTTAATGAAAAAGCTGCTTAGTGCAACTGTGCTGATAATAGCCTGCCAGTCAAATCTGAGCTCAGCAGTTACAGATACTTATTTCTAAATATATTTATGAGGTTATGCGATTAAAATATTTTAATTAAATGGCTTCCACGTCTGCAACACACACTGTCCACGGCTCACCAACAATAACAACAGTTTGCTCAGGACTAACACTATCCAAATTGACAGAATCAGAGCAGCACCGGAGCAGATCCGCTTTCAGGCTCAGCTCAGAATTACATTACTTAATGGGAATGCAGCAAACGGAGAACAAAAGCAAAAGAAACTAAAAATGCAAAATGCTGGTGTGAAAGTTGGTGAAAAGCTTTACTTACCAGGCTTGCCTGTTTTGTTTTTGCAAGCAAATAGCAAGAAGCAACAAAAACGGAAGCAAAACAGAAAATCAGGAATTGTTAGGAAAGCAGGAAATAAGTAATGCAACAACCTGTATTGCACAAAGCATAACATCCCTTTGGTTTTCATAATGGGAATTTAATGATTTAGTTAAACGTACAAGTAGAAGGATACATTTTAAACACAAAAAACCCCTCCGGAATTGCAAATCCATCAATAAAAAGGAAATCCACGATGGATTTTGGAAGGGGACAGTGGAGGGCTGTGAGCAAGGTGTGTGTGAGGTGGGGTGCAGTGAACATGGGGGTTCCACAGGCTCCGTTCCTCAGGACCAGGCAGCCCTGAGCAGCAGCCAGGGAAGTCTTTTTTCTCCCCCCTCCTCAATATAAGCAAGAATGTGATAGGGGCTGGGGCAAGTGTAAGAAAAAAGGGGGAAAAAAGTTAAAGCACCCTGAGCAGCAGCCAGGGAAGTCTTTTTTCTGCCTCCTCCTCAATATAAGCAAGAATGTGGTAGGGGCTGGGGCAAGTGTAAGAAAAAAAGGGGAAAAAAAATTAAAGCACTGGTAAAAAGATAGGCAAAGAGACTCTAAGAGGGATCTAGGCACTGACAGCTTGTAAACTCAGAGAGTATGGCAGAAAACTAATTGCATACGCTGTCGGGTAATATTGAGTTCTGTATGTATTTGACAGCAAATACTAGACCTACCAGCCCTTGAAATCAAAAGCAATTCCTGCTTGCAATGCATGTTTGCCATGCCTTTACAGGCACACATATACAATCGTATACTGTTCAAATGGAATATTTTCAATATTCATTATATATACACATGGCAAGCTATAAAAAGCTGAGCAGGACCTACCAACCACGCTGAATATTCATTAAAGGGATTCGGGAAAGTGCTTCACTTTTAATGCCCTGCTAACAGGGCTGTGTAAATAGTTCAGAAGGGTTAAATCATAAATAGAAGCAGCAGAGGCATTTCTTTTGTTACAATGAAGATTTTGCTTTAGCAGTAAGACATTATTGTGACAATAGTTCAGGGAAGGTTATGCAAATAGCACCCAGACAGTCATCCTTCTCCACAACCACGGCGTGGTGGTCGGGATGAGTGAATTCCTTTCTCATAAGGGCCAGTAATTTACAACAAATGACAGGAGAAAGTGGGACAATTAGAGCAAAAATTTACATTAAAGACAGGGGGAAGCAGCCTCGCATGTAACTATTGCCATGCTGTAGAATTTGCATACTGCTCTAATTAATACGTGCTTTCTGTGTCACTGGTGGTGTTTTAGTTCCTTTGCAAATGGGCAGCAAATTGCATTATCTACAGACATAGCTCTTAAAAACCTGCTGTAGATCATTTGAAAGATCAACTGATACTCTGAATCTGAAGTTTAAAGATCTTTCTATATCCTCAGTTGGTCAATGGCCCGATTCTTTAATTATCCTGGATTTCTTTGCAACAAGAGGAAATGGCAATTGTAGAATTTACTATGTACACCATGGCTGCACCTTTGCTTCAGGACCCTTATTCTATACCTTCTTGTTGCACTGCAGTCTCATAATTTGAATTATTATTTTTTTTTAATCCATTTCTCAAAACTAGAATTTGAATTTGTTATCAAAAAGAAACTTCTTTTGCTAATTACATGCATATGCTTGGGGAAAAAAAGGACGGGTCCTGAATTTCTACGTATGAATGGCCAGGTTCAGGGACGAAGCAGTATCAGAGTATGTTTAGTGCAAACCAAAATGAATTAAGTTCTTTGCATACTCTGATCACTCCTATTTTAGCACTTGGACGATGAGAATGACAGACGTTACGTCAGAAGGCAGGCAAATTGCTCAGTTGTACATAGAAAAGGCAACAGAGGCAGAACACCATAGAGAATGAAGCCAGGCACGTTATTATATTATTAATTATTACAGATTTTATTATGTATTAGGATGTAATAATAATAATACAAAATATTATTATTATTATTATTATCACATTTGTTATTTATTTATAGGCTCTTTTTTTCATCTACTTGAAAGGAGTCTGGGGTGTCTCCCAATGGCTGAGAAATGCAGGAAGGCAGCAAAAGCATCAGACATTGAACTAATTCCCCCCATATCTTTGGGCAAAACCAAGCAAATTCACTACAAATGCACATAAACACAACTCAAGCATTAATCTAAAAGAAAAAAAAAGTTTAAAGAAACCAAAAATTTGGGGGTGAGACAATACTGACTGTTTACAAGGGGGCTGCCCATTTTAGAGGGTGCAAACAACACGATATGTGATATATATCACAGTGTGATACAGCGTATGATATACGACAGCTGAAATAAAAATCCTTCCCTGTTGGAAACTTGTTAGAAAGATGCAGGTGTTCCTGGCACGCCGTGCTCTCTGTGACAGTTCTCTCAGGGGGAGTACGAGGGAAAATTTCTTTCTTTTTATTTTTCAATAAACACAGTGCCAACGGGCTGGATCCATTCCCCTCCCTGCTCACCGACACCGTGAGCTACCCCAGCCTGTCTCCTGGGTCTCACAGTCCAGATTTAACTCTGAGGCCACTCCTAATGGCTTTTAACAATATTTCACAGTTCTCTGCTGTTTTACTCCAGCTTGTCCGGGTGAGTTTAGTCCTGCTTTCTCATCAGCTAATGCTTTTTTTCCTGCTTTTCCCAGCAATTTTGGCCATGGAGAACCCAGGACCCAGCTCAGCCGTTTGCCTTTGTGGGAAGCAGCTCAAGGTGAAGCAGCAGCACGAGGCCCTGGCCCTTTCTGTAGCCAGACTAAGAAAAAGCACCTTGGAAATCTTATGAGGAGGCTCTAAAATCACATCCCAGGGGCCAGACCTCCCACACCAAGGAAAAACACGAGTCCTGCAACTTTTGGTTTTGAAATGCTACGGCACGTAGCATTTTTCATTTGTGGGACAAGCTGTTAACACAGGTGTTTTCTAATTATTGAGAGGGAAAAGATGTCATAATTTAGACCTTAAAGGAGACCCCTTTGTTAGTAAATAACCGGGGAGGTGGATTGGCCACTCATAATCTCTCAGATGGGATTGGAGCTAATCTAGGTTTTGGTCTGAGCAATGCACTTAGGACGGATAATCCCTGTTGTTGTAAAGAGCTAACTTTGGTATCTCCCCTCCAACAGTGGGGAGCGGATGACTATTGGGGTTTTAGGTCATTGAAAGTCTCTCCCAGAGACACCCATGAGTTGTGGGCAAAGCATTTTAACACTTTTCCAAACAGTTTGCTTTGATGCAGAAGGAAAAGCCCCGGCCTTTCTGCATTCCCCAGGCTGCCTCAGGGGCTACTTTCTGTCAAAGGAAGCCCTGGCTGTTCCTCACACCCTGAGCACACACCGGTGTCCTCCGGTGCAGCCACAACTCCCAGCACCATCAGCAGACACAGTTCCCATCAAAATTAAACCCAGAGACTTCATCTATGTCTCTAGGCTCACTTCAGAAAAATCAGAGCAGAGAATAGCATCTCACAGAGGAGAAACACCTACCTATCATCTGAGCAATCGTCTTCTCGTATTCTGAAACGATTTTCCTGTAAGAGGGGGGGAAAAAAAGAAAAGGTTTTGGCAAACATCGTCATTGCTAATGCTTACTTCGAAAATAATGCTACTCAATAACTGAACTACAGTATTTTAAAAGAGATACAGAACCCCTTCACACTTTCACATGCACCTTATTACATGAGTAACAAATAAAGCTGACGGTTTAAATACTGCACTTGGTTTTTAATTCTCCATGTAAATCAGTACAGGTGGCAGGAGGGAAACTCTCAATCAAATTCTGATATTTGAAACATACCCAAAGAACATTACCCATCACGATTTAAATATAAACATAATCACATCGGCCTAATTCAAGAATTACAAAGTCTGGTCTTTCCATTACTTTCTCCATGTTTGTCTTTGCTTATTTTTAATGTAAACATTAAGTAAAGTTATAATTGCTAGCAAGTAAACTTAACAGAAGTAGAGTTGGCCCTCATCCAAAATATATCTTGCCTTGCACTCTCCCAATGTGATTAAATGATCCATTAGCACTTAAGAGAACAAGAACAAAATATTCAATTACGTAGCACAAAATCCATGGTGTCCTATTTCCCAAATCTGTTTTTGAAACAGAGGTGGCAAAATGTTACTTTTAAGACTATTTTATTTCATATACTCACAGTAGGCTTTGAATTTCCTTCTTGAAAAGAGGTTAGCCAAAATAAGCAGATTAAATGTGATTTAGAAAGATGATCCATCCCTTCCCAGAGCCAAATAAAGCTAATGAAATGAGACTAGCTTGATCTGTGCTTTGATTCATGAGCCACGTAGGACCGTCTATGAAAAACAAAATTACCCCACACTTCATCTGAAGTGGACATTCAAAATAGCCTCCTCTTTTGAAGTCTTAGCTCCCTTTCACTTGCTCCTTTTTAGAGAAGTCTGCTGCAGTTGGTGAGGTTACGGAATGGATATGGGAAAATCCTGAGACAAAAGTCAGTAAGGAAAGGAGAAACTTGGGGAGCTCACAACCAGAAATGACACTTTTGAGAATAAAGATATCCTCAAGCGTTTGCCCCTGAAAGGAAGGGATTGGTTTCATGTCCAAAGGAGATTACCTCCAAAGCCTGCTGTAAGCAATAAGGATTTTAAAGCCATGTCATATCCTCGTAACACCAGGCACCTTTAGGAAGTTTTATCATCCCAGAAAATGAAGTCAATGACTTGGGGCAACGAACATGACATTAAATACTGTTACGTACCCTGGCACTTCCCAGCCCAGGCTGCACCAGGGAAGTTGGCAGCAAAGAGAAATAACGTTATCCATTTCTTATTTTTACCAGCTTAGACTAGTTTCCAGGAGGTACCACATTCTCTGCATTATTGGAGTTAGATTGATGGTTGGACTAGATGATCTTAAAGGTCCCTTCCAACCTAGACACTTCTATGATTCTATCCCGCCTCATGAAATCATGTGGCTGTTCCATGGAAGTGGACACTGCAATGGACTATTGGATTTAATAATATTCGATTTGGAAAGCGAGGTAGTCGAGTCAAATCTTGTTCCAGATTGATGCCAAAGGCCTCGTCAAGCAGCCTAAATAAGGGTCATTATGGCTGGGGCACTGAAGGATGCTGGTCACATCATTCCTCTCGGTGATGGCACATCTTAACCCCAGCTCGACATGCTGCACAGCCTTCACTTTTGGTATTTTAGAAATTCAGTCCATTTATTGACTTCCTGCATTTTCCTAAGTCATAAAACCACCAAAATCCAGGGCTAGAAAGGATCTCAGAGGTCATCTGCTTGACTTCCCTTACTAATAATCAATCAGATCTCCAAATAACCATGTTTTCATATTTCTTGCCCTAGGCTGTACCCTTGGATTATGGTATAGCCTGCCCTGGTTTAGCTTTTCAATAGTTATTACATTATTACAACTTCTCATCTTGGCTACTGTTCTCTGGAGTGGAATTTCCTCCAGTCTGACATTTTTCTGGATTAACTGAACTCAGGATATTCCAAGTAGAGCACGTAGGACTTGGGCAGAGAAGCGTTGCTTCTCCTTCTGTGAAAAGTGATGCTTTTGTGCTTGCAAATCTAGATAATCCCTTCACTCCTTGTTTATCATTATGTCACACCTAATTGCTGCATCTCTAATTTACCACACATGGACTGTTTAATCTTCCAAGAGAAATCTTTCTTTGTGCACACATACATATTTTATCATTTCATGACAACATTAATCAGATTATTTTTTTTTCACCCACATGTTCTAGGGGTGTGCCTGTGGGAAATTTGGCTTAGATAATGTGCTTTCTTTTTTCCAAATCACATTTTGCTGAGGGTGTAGATATTACAAGGAAATTACTGTGAGGGGGACGAAGGTGCCAGCTGTGTGCCAGCTGCTCTGTGTCATTCACTGCTCTCCTTTCCTGAAGGAATAAGCACCCCCTTTCGTACCCAGGTGGTTTCTAGAGAACAGACCAAGCACCACACTTGAGCGTGTGCCAAATGCCGGGATGCTCCTTACACAATTCCACATTTTGTTCATTCCTCAGTTTGCCCTCTTACCACAGCTCCCTCTTCCCATTACTCCCTAAGTAGAGTTTTCCTGGATATAAGCAGGAATTGCATATGGAGGTTATCACTTGATACAGTTCATCAGCTTTAGCTTTAAACCCCCGAGACATTTAATCCTGGGAAGAAGCTGGTGCTAGAACAGAAGTGATTTTGAAAAAAACACAGTCTCAGAAGCAAGAGCAGAAACTGTTACTGTAAAGAAAGATACTAAAATAATCTGAAACCTGACGGTTTCCTTTTATTTATGAGTTAAGGGGTGAGGTGTTTTTCTGTCTGAAGGTAGAAAATGACAGGCCTTAAGGACTCCATGAAATATTTTTTACACAATCTCTCCCTCAGATGATTACCTTCTCAGATCCAGAACAATGAGCAGGTCACGCTAGAAGAAACTGAAAAGCTCATGGGCCTTCTATCAGCTCTCAAACGAAGCAGCAAAATCCAAACTGCTTAACTGAAATCAAGCTTAGTGTGTGCAGTAATTAAAAAATTAGCTCAGTTCAAAGAAAAGGGTGTAGAATCTCCTTGAAAGTCAACACTCCGAGGACATAGTGGTTCCTTCACAAGAAATGTTTTTCTACTGGCAAGTGGGGTTTTGTGTTCTATTGTTAAAGAAACCTTTTACAATAATCTCCTGGAGGAAGCCTGTTCTACCCACACCTATCTGCAAACCTCCACATTCTTTCTTCTGTTGGCAAAACTCCTTGTGGAGAGTGAATTTTAAATCAGCACGTGCCCACCTCTGCCAGCTCTGCAGGCAGCTCCTTCAGCCAGGAAACAGAAACCCCACCAGGCAACCCCTGTGTGAATCCACAGCACAAACTGGAGGAAATTCTTCCCTTAATTAGCCTAGATGACGAGCCCTCTTATCTCAGCATTTTGAGGGTGTAAATGAGATTGGTAACACTGAAGTTTTCAGTGATTACCCTCTGCCACCACGATTAGCAACAAGTTAATGACCCACCTCATTTCCATCACTTCCCTTCTGCTTTCTTCATATTTCTCCTTCCACTCAGATACTTCTCTTTCCTTGGCCACAATCTGAAATGAAGGCAGCAAAGGGAAAAAAAAGAGTTAAACCAAGTGATCCATTAAAGAGGAAATTAAATAAGTGTAAAATATTTGATTTAATATCAAATTCTAATTAACAGAGGTATGGTTTTCAAATGTATAATGGTTTCAAATATAGGCATCCCCAGTGACTTTCGCCTTTTTCAGAGTGCAATTAAAAAAGTTCAGGTGTGAAATCATACTAAAGTTTTGAAAAACTAACTTAGGAGAGTAGTTGCATTGTTCTTGTTTCATATTTCATTTCTGATTACGTCAAGGACACTTTTCAGGAAATACTATATTACACTCCACTTTGTCTGATTTGACTTGGTGCCCAACCTGAAACACCTCTGTACATGGTCCCATGTCCTCTAAGGGGGTTCTACTGCTTTAGGGCTGACTCTCTGTGAAATTTTATACCCGAAGGACTGGGTTCCTTTGTGCTCCTCTCATTCACACCATCTATCATAAAGTTTGGAATACTCTAACGCTAGATTGTACTCATTTTTTATTATTTTTAGCCAGAGTAATCTTATGCGCAGCTTTGTAAAACACATCATTTTATTCCTATTTCTGGCATCTTACAAATTTTATAAAATTACATAGCAATGTCAAAATGCATATAGCACAGTTAAGGCTAAAAGCAAAAAGGATTTATTTTCCTCTAATGTCTGCTTTTCACTTATGTCAAAGAAAGCAAAACTTACAGTGTAGTGCCTTTTGCTTTGGTAGCCTCTAGCGTTGTTTGAGCGCGGCTGAGGACAGTTTTAAGAATAGAACAAGTGTTCGTAATATGAATCATTCGGGAGAAAACAGGAAAGAAGTAAACCACAAGGGGCACATATTTCCTTTTCCAAATTCTGAAGAAAATTACCTCTGCTCTGGCCAGTCGTAGCGCGGAGTCTAAGTCTTGCTGGGGGTAGAGAAGAGCCGCGGTGCTCTCTGCATCCGAGGTGCCGATCCGGGAGTACAGGGCACTTTTAGAGATGGAAACATCTGCTGGGATAGCAGGTTCTCTCTGTGTGTTTGTTTTTTTAAATACAAAGAAATGAACCATTAAATAAGTGTTTAGCTAATATGTTTTCTGGGTGCAGTGCTAGGCTCCATGGTCCTGAGCTAGGACTAGAATCCTGTGCACTACTGAATCATACCAGCAATAACATTGACAAGGAACTTTGAATTTAGCAATCTGAAAATATGCATTTAAGCTTCATAGTAAGCACCAAGAGAGCCATATTACCCTCAGAGAGAGAAAATAAAGATAGCACTTTGCTAGCAATATTTTAAGGTCCTATATTAGAAAAATTAATACTTTCTGATGCAGAAATGTCATCAAAACATCCTCAAGAAATGCACGTCAGCAGAGGAAATTAGAATTGGAGGCAGAGAGCTTGTTAAGGGGAATTCTGCTTCCATGAAAATATATCAAGAAACCAGAAGCAAGAGGGCAACTCACCTTCTTAGGTCTGATCTGCCAATGCACCGTATCTATCATAAACTGTATTTCATAAAAATTGTGAATATCATACAAACTCATGGAATCAGAGAATACGCAGGTGGGGTTGCTGCCCCACTGGTATTTAGCATGCGATTAGTGAGTTAAATGAGTTTTCATTTGCAGCTGCCAATTTTGCTCATGTCAGTGGCCCAGATTAACTGGGGAGGAGAGCAGCATGTGAAATGGGGAAGAGAGCAGAAAAAAGAGGACACTGAGATGCAAGGTCTTGCAAACCACACTCCAGGTGCCAACAATCCAAGTTATAGCACATTAAAATCAAGGAGGTTATAAAAGACTGTTAGGAAGATGCTAAACCAAAAAAGCCCACATTTTTAAACACCAACCATAGCAGATCTACGTCTGGATTTCTTAGAATGGTTTGGGTTGGAAGGGACCTTCCAGTTCCAACCTCCCTGCCAAGAGCAGGGACACCTCCCACTAGACCAGGTTTAACATTTAACCATGAACACACTAAATAATGATTAATTCCAACAGAATTAGGAGGTGCAACCTCAAATCCAGTGGATTCTCCTACCTGAGCAAAAAGCATCACAAGATCTATCAAAACTACACAGCCTGCATTCCTGAAAGTATCTCCCAATATAAAACAACTAGGCAGGAAAAAAATACATCTGGGACACAAGCTCAACCACCTACATAAATGCATAAACACAAAACCACATGGTGCTGTCCACAGATCTGAGTTAAGGTAAAACAGCCAATAAATAAGACTACTGCTGGCTCAACTCAGTATCCTAACTTAAAAAAACCAACCCTTACTTTAATTCCTCAAACACAAGGCAAGAAAAACTGAGAGATAAAAAAGAGATCATCAAAGCTGCCCTCGAAAGAAAGGCCATCCCAGGATCAATCTGTTGAACCGCGTGTATCATATTTCAAAAGCCTCCTGCAGCTTAATTTGCTGGAGCTCCTAAAGAGATTGCTGGAAAATATTAATCGTGGCGAGAGAAACACAAATTTCCTCAAGCTCATATAAAAACGTGTCAGAGTAACTGCCAGGATGATAAAATTTTTAAAGAAAAAGGACCACTTGCACTTATCCATATTTTTTATATAACGCTCAACACCTCGCTAATATAGTTATGTTTTCTCTATCTTCTCTTGCATTTGAGTAAATTGTACAAAAGAATAGCAATAATGACATACAAAACAACTTAAAATTTCCAAAGATGGCTGTAAAAACCCTTGGAATTTAACCACTGAGCAGAAATGCTTGCAGCAGTGGTCCGACTAATACTGTCCTAACTCTGGAAACACTTCACACCAGTCACAGCCGGGCTCTTTGGCAGGACCAACCAGTAAAAGTCCTCGTGGTTTCTCTTCAAAAGCCAATTTTCCGCAGCTCCAAACTGATGCATAATTAGCAACTGTTATTTGCTGCCTCCAAATATTCCTATCCTGAGACAATAATATACCCTGACCAACAGGATGATGGTATTTCCCAAAATAACTCTGTCGGTTCTTCAACTTCGACACCTAATTGCTGAGCAGGTAAGCAGTTAATTGGGGTAATAATAAGCGTAGGGATTTGTAAGTCACTGAACCTCGCGCAGAAAGATTTGAGTCTGCAGGGGAATTACTGCTAAATGTAGGTCACTGCAGTCTTAGTGTAAATATTTGAGAGCACCTCCCTCTTCCCTTCCCAGCATCTTTCACAGAAACCGGATATCGGACCAGACAGGGAATAAATGCACATCCATTAACCTGCTGCAGGTTCCTCACTTCGAGAAGGTCAAAGCGAAAAAAAATACAGAAATGCACTGCAATGAAAACAAAAACTAGTTGTTATCATCCTGTTTAGAGGAGTATGCATTTAGCCCTGCTGAAAATTAGCTTGCCCTTTACAAACGTTCAAATACTGCTTGGGTACATATCAAATGATCTACTCTTTTAACTAATTGATGTGTGTGCAGAGAGGTCAATGGAGGCAAAACAAGACCTATTGGTGCTGGCAAATATACTGAAAAGCAAGTAAAATCCAAGCATAAGTTCCAAGCTTGTAAAGTTTTACTAGAAGAAATGGTTTGAATGGGAAAAAAAAAATGGTTTTGAATGGTTTGAATGTTTGAAGGAAATATTTCTCCCTCAATGCCATGAGGGCCCCTCAAAGTCATGATCCCATTTGTGCTGATGCCTTTCCTTTCAGTTTCTCTCCTTTCCTTGGATCTCACCTCAACACCCAACTCTACATCGCCTCAGCCTCTGTAGGGTGGTGGACACAAACCCTACCTATTTCTGTTCAAGCTGCATCTATAAAAAAATGGCCACAGGACACCCTAACTGAGACTGTTTAATAGAGAACTGTTCATTCAACTCCAGGCTGGAAGAAAGAAATCTTTGGCAATGTGAAAACAGATGACTAGTGCTGCTGTTGAAGTGTCTGACAAGAAGTTTGGGAGCGGCCAAATAACTTCTCTCTGCTCGAGAACAACAAACCGCAAATCCTTATTCCCAGCCCTAGTACGAGCAGAAAATGCTTGTATTTAATCTGTATTTTTAGGTGACCTAACTTGCCATAACAAGTGCTTGTGTCTTTATTTAACACCATATTCTTATTACCCCATCCTGTAATGGTTTAGCAAATGTTAAGTGTAATTATACAACGTTAAGAAAAGAAGGGAGGCCAGCCAACCCGGAGGGAATGCTGCCAGTTCGCCTCCGAATTTAAGTCACTGCCGTCGTCTGGTGGATCCTATTATACTTAATCCAGGCCATCAGTCACTGCAGGTCACAAGGGCTGTCATCACGGGCTAATTTTACATCAGCAACCTCCCACTGAAGTAGCAAAGTTATGCAAGGACAAAAGTCCTTCCCAGCCTAACAAAACACCCACCGTGTTCAGCGAGAAGCATTCCTGTGACCGGACCAACACGGAGCCTTGTGAACCTCAAAATGGTACCGATTCTCTGTCACGGGGTGGAGGTTTGCTTATTTTCCTCTCCTCATCTCTGTTTATCATTTTTGCTATCTTTGTCATACAAATTAATAGAATTTTCTAAAAATTCACACTAAATCCATTCCCCTTTTCTAAGTTCCAAGGAGTTCATAAACTTGTTATATATAAAAGAAAATGTCGTAATGATGTTAAAAAGCATCTTTAAAATGTAACTCCACATAATCAAATATATCCTCTAATATTTTTGTAGCTCAGAGTCTCCCCTGGGTAACACACAAGAATTCACAAACACATAAAGCTACTTTCTTCAGTCTAAAATAGCACAATTTTGTCCCGGCCCATGGCAGGAGGGTTGGAACTAGAAGATCTTTAAGGTTCCTTCCAACCCAAACCATTCTGTCGGTCTATAATTTGTGAGTTTCTCAATTCCAGTAGGAAAAATGCAGATGTCTGACAGAAGTCTTTTGTATAACCTGTGAAGAGCATCTAGGTATTATTATGGGTTTGATCTCGAGTGTTTCCTGGTGCTGCAGAGCCTGAAAGCTGCAGGTGACAGCAAAGTGCTGGGAGGACAAGGAGGTAGAGAGAGGTTAAGGAGGTGGAGAGGATCTAGAGAGGATCCCACCTCACCCTCTTCTGACACCCGCCTCTCAGTGTGATGGAGTAAGGGGACACCATCATACACAGGCCAGTACTCAAGCTGGAAAATGGTACTTAATTTTTCACTCCTTTAGCTGAAAGGTTAATCTTGGTTTCTAATGATGACAACGGCATGTTTTTCTTGATTAAATAAAAGATTGTAGCCACATACTTTAAACCACCCATAAGTACGCACGGAATGAGTTTACTTCGGTAAGTGTATGTGCACCATGGAAACAGTTGGCTCGTGAGTTATTTAAAGTAAGCAAAATAAATCAAATAAGGTCATTATTTTTTAATAAAAGTACAGTTAATCTAAAAAAATCGTTACTTTTATGAACTAGCTACTTCATGACTGATCCTTAGAGCTCCAAAGCAATTCTGCCTTATAACCAGCCCAATGGTTGCTATGTTCCAATGAGCTCAAGATGATACAGAACCAGGCAAAAGACTTCCCGCTGACTTATATATGGACACTATAAGAGGAGAAAGATCACTGCAGAAGAACACATCAGAAGCATATTCTCCTCATTTGGAATAAAATGTCATCCTGTGCCACCCCATCAGCCTCCCATTCAGCTGATACCACCTCCCAGGAAAGCTGCTAACGTTTTTGGCTTGATCTTTTTGTTAAAAGCACCACGAAGGGCACCATAAACTGGCTGCACAACTGGGTAACCACCAAACCCAGCGCATCAATGAGCTTTTCTGTCCCCTTCCAAACACAGCGAGGACCACATGCATTCCTAGAGCAGCACAAAGCATCACTGAGGAGGCACTAGCCAGCACAACATAGAACTAACAATTTAAAAATCTTTAGATCTTCATGAATAAAGACACATTGTATTGGGGGCCCTTTTTCCTTGGGAGCTCAACAGCCCTTCCAAGCCTGCTGGAGTCCTTTTCTTCTGAAGCCTGAAGGTGGGGTTGATTAAACTTCTCACTTTTGAACTCTGAGAGTCAAGGTGTCTGATTTCAAGCTGAAAATACCAACAGAAATGCCCCTACAGTAAAAGCCTCCAGCAAGTAGGTCAAGTAGGGTTGGACTTGGTTTGCTGTCAACCACTTTAGGACAAATCTTGCTGTAGAGAGAAGACAAACGGCCTCCTGACTGCAGAACCTGCCTCCTGCAGAGGGTAAGTGCCCACTTCTTGCCTTTAAATTGCCTTGTGTTAATTGGGATGCAGCGGCACTCGGTGAGCGGAGCGGGTGAGGGGGGTTCGGTGGGCAGCACCGCTTCCAGCGCGCTCTTGGGTGTCCCACCAAGGTGCACGAAGCTCAGCACCAGGCTCTGAGGTTACCTCGGTTAAAGACAAAAGCAGGGCTGGGTTCCTTTAGCCCGTGCACACTCACACACACGTGGCAGGCACAAACCCAGATACCTGGGAGCGGAAAGAAGAGAGGGCAATCTGCCTGGCTAACTTCAGCGCTTCTATCCTCATTGCGGCAAACTCTAACTCCTCCTGTCAAGTTGTTGGGTTGCGAGCAATCCACAGGAAAAGAAGGTATTAAGAACACAGCAGAAATGTTTAACACGTTCAAAAATTGAATGTTATTTTCTAATGTATAATTCTGATAATTCCTGGGTGACAAACACATCCCATGTTCCTTTCACGACCAGAACATTGATACAAAACTCCAGTTTTTGGTTAGTTTTGAGGTAGCTGTATAGACAATTTTAGGAGGTAAGTATGAACAATGGTTTGGGTAAAATAGATGTTTGCTGAAGCTAAAGCTGTTTTCCAGACTCCTCTGCCTTTGTTTTCATCTTATGTGAATTTGTGCCAGCTGCTGCTCTCAATTCAACCTCTGCTGTTTTAAAGTTTCACTATAAATACTCTAGAAAATATGTCCTGACCTACAGAACTGCTCTGCAGATCAATTTGCTTTTCCTAGAAGCAGCCATGCCAAATTCTGCATCACGTATATTACCAGAAAAACAAAGCCTAATTTTCATTTCAGTAGAATTAGGGCCTTAATCTGTGAAAATGAATCTATGCCCACAGAGCTACTAAGGACAAGTGTCAAGACAACTCTCCACGTATCAAGTCCTGTGTTCAAGCTTCAAAGATTTGTTTTATAAAGACTCCTGCAAAATATACACATCAGTGGTACAGGATAGCTGAAAGTATTGAAATATTTATGTATTATATGAATTAAATCAAAATATCTCTGTTCCTTAAGTTCCCCCAAAGCCAAAGTTACTCTGGACAGAATCAAATCATTATTTTGCTTCTTTCCCACCTCCCCCTCCAAGCCTCCCCCTTCCCTTGCCCATGAGACAGAGCATTCCTCTATCTGTGTACAGACAAACTTAAAGAAAAGTGACATTTATATTTTTGCTACAAACCTGAAGTTTCTGAGCAAACACTGGGGGGTTCTTTTCTGCTAAGTCAGGATCCAGATATTCAGGTTGATCGCATATTGAGGTTTTCTTAGATATCCTATTGAGAAGAGCATCAGCAGAGACAAAGGAGTCTTCAGGAGATGTCTGAAGGAGAAGAAGGATGTAGAATAAGCAACAGAGATTTGGCCCAAGTAGTTCAGCCCAAAAGTGATGTACGTGTCTGCAAATCTTTGATTTCTAGTAATTTCATGCCCCACTGAAGATTATTTTTGAATACATGATTCACAGGTGGAACAGTCAAACACCAAGAATAATTCTTCCTAATTTAAAAGCTGAGTAAACTTTCCAAGACTAAAATGAAGTAAGTAATAATAGGACCTCTAAAGCAATGGCTCTCAAGCCACGGACCACAGCCCACTCTTGATACTTCTACAGCAGGTTTTGTTCATACAATAGCTTATGTTCAGCTCAGGTCCCTCTAAGGCAGTCCAAAAGCCTTGAACATCACCAAGACTGAGGGGAACCTCAGCAAGCTCCTACCATATGCTGCTGCCAAGATCTTTAAGTATCAGATTGAGTTTTGCTCTTCCTGCGAGATCCATCTTTGCAACCTCTTATATGACACGAGAAATTTCTGTCGGGAAATGATTCCCAAACTCTTCTCATAAATTACTTACTATTTCAATAGCCTCTGGAGTTGTTCCCAGGGTCATGGGCTCCAGGTCCTTCTGCTTGGCCTTGTCAGCTGACTGTAAGTGTGCCTCCTGGCTGGCAGCTATGACTCGGGAGGCTGGGTGTTGTATTTTCATTCCAGAGGATTGCTGGGCTTCAGGGTCTTCAAAACTTGACCTGCACAAAGATTGTGTACATGCTTTCAGGGTAGAGCACAAGGCTCTTACAATTCTGCTTCTGGTAACAACTAAGCAAATCCTCTTCATTACTTTCATCTGTATATATTTTTATATTCACACATTGTTTCAACTCAACTTTATATCATTATATCTCATAACATTTTGCAGTATCTTTTCAAAGCAACGCACCCGAGTATTCTAAATAAAGCCATTTCCACCAGAAAAGCTATGCACATTCCTTAAATATTTCTCACTTGCATTTTTATCCCTTTCTCATTGTGATCTGATCTTATCAGTAAAAGTTGATTGTTGGGAGAGATGGTAGATGTCCTCAACAAGCAAAACTTTTGTAAGTCAATACAACCCCCACATCCTGTTCTTATGAACTGAGCTCCTTGTTCAGAAAACATATCTAGGAAAAGGCCAAGTGAAAAGGAGCAATTAGGAGATTTTGAGATTGATGTGAAAATGACCTCAGTATCTGATAGTAAGAAGCCATTGTCTAATGAAACAGTTGCCACTGTGATTCTATTTAGTAAGAATATGAAATAGAAATATATGTCCTTCTTCCTTCCCGTTATAAAACTTCTGTATCTTTGCCCTCTATTCTCTATCATATGTGTACACAGATGGGAATCTATTTTTAAACAAACAACTTGGCAAGGCAGAGGCAGCGAGGGGAAGAACTGCCTGTGTACGTGCTATGATGGTAACCCATTTCCCCCACATCCTTTTCCAGGGCTGAATTTGCTCCCAAGTGACATACCCTGAGCACGGCGTTGTGGAATCAGACAGTCTGATGGGAGGTGATTTGACCGGGCTCTCCTGCTGGGCATCAAACATTAGGTATAAAGCTTGCTTCTTCGGGGTGCTATCATCCTGCTGGCAATGGGAAAAGAAGACTCATTAAGCAACTCAACCATTCTCCATTAAAGCTAATTCAGGTCACTGAAGCCTTAAGTGACCAAATGACTTGACACACAACTAATAACGTGGGACTGTAATATAGTGTGCTCTAACTGATACTGAGATGATCCCTTTAAGGAAGAAACCATTAAAGAACAAAACCTAAACAGGTCACTCTTTGTAATGGCTCTTCTCCCACTTCGGGGCTAATCAGATTTCTGGTCCTGTGAGGCAGGAGGCATCCCTTGACTGAAAGTGTTACTAAAATATTCATTGAAACTTCTCATCAGTTTAAGCATCTGATACACATGCTTGATTTTTCTAACTGTCCCTCTGGATATACCCCTGTTGAATCTAGCCAAGCTATCAAATCCACAAATTAGATAAAAGTAAGGCAAAACAATGGATAACTTATAGTACTGCATTCCATATTTTGCATTTATTGTGTGTATTCTCTCCTGATTTCCTCCATCTTCTTAAAAGTTTCTTTAAACAGCTCAATAGCTGGTACATAGCTCCTACACTGCTGGAAATACTATTTTGCTTTTATTCCAGAAAGAACTACTATGATGCTAGCTTAAAAATAAAATAATAAAGTGGAACAAGCTCTACAGGATATAGGGCAACAAAGCACATGCAATTTATCCCAGTTATGCCAATTTAAAGGAACTGGTTTTGCAAATCTGCTGCAGGCACATTATAATTAATTTAAGGGGTAGCGAGGCTGATGGCATTAGCAGGACAGTATATTATGACAAGGGAATGCAAATGAATGGAAATGGAAGTGAGAACTTACAGGCACAGAGGAGCCTATTTTCTCCATATATTCTATTTCATATGAGTTGCCATATTCCAGTTCTGCAACAGAAACAAAAAAGAGCCATTAAATACAGGCCATGAGATGATTTTTGCAGAAGTAAATGAGATCTCTGCTCATTTACAAGGGCCACTCCCATTCTACTCAATACTTTTCCATGAGGTATTAAAAATAGAATATAAAGAGAGAAAGCAGAAGGTGCACTGATTTTCAACAATGAATTATGACACATTTCAGGCAAATTCATTTGCCTGAAAAATTTTAGCTTTATTAATTTGCTGAAGATTCTGCCCCAGGGGCCAGAATATTAACAAAGTTTCAGAGCACTTTCAGAGCACAGATAACTTTCCTCTATCGTGTTATCTTTTCATAGAAAACACATTTTTCAATAATTTGTAATGCTGATACCAGTTTCCTTTAATATATGCAAAAAGATTTTAAAAGCACTTGAGAAATTAAGTAATTTCTATTTCTTCATGTTTATCACACTGCTCTTAATTAAGAAGGGCTACTGTGGTATTACTTAAGATAAAAAGACACATAAAATAGCTGTATTCTCATTGAACAAGGGGTGACACAACACCCAGCTCACTGGGCTGTTTTCATATTTTAGTTACAGAGGGAAAGCCTAAGGCAGGAAGATTTATGAAGACCCCTAAATCTAAACCCTAATAAAAATGCAAATTTTTACTGCTTCTCTACTTCTAATCTCCTAATTACACAGGATGGAATAACCAGCATTTCTTTCCAATCCATGGTCACCCAGTAGCGAGCTGATACAGAGGCATAAAACACAGCACAATGGAAGAGAGAGCGCACCTTCCTGCACCCAAATGAAAACAAAGGCTCTGTTCAATGGCACTTTAATTTGAAAATTAAAAACATCATTAATTTGTCCTAATGCTGGATTTTTGCTCTGTTCCCATGAGTTAATTCAATAAACCACTTGTATAATTTCATTTCCATTGCAGATAAATTCTAATGAATTTATCTCTAATCTAATGAATTTATCTCTATCTCTATTAAGATAACAGGATGTGCGAAAATTCTTTTCGATTTGGGCAGCTTTTGAAAACTCGGGTTTGTATCAGGAAGACGGTAACCATCATTAAAACGTTTGTTCTTTAAAAACAAGCCAAGCCTAAAGATAATATCTTACCTGTTTTGTTAAAAAGAAAAAAAAGTTTCAAAGGGTTCAATGTGAGTTTATAACGCTCAAAATTGTTTTATAATATAAAGCACCGCAGAGTACAAAGCACTGTAATTCCACAAGTCTATGTATTTTGTCAAACAACCACCGAAGAGGAATGGCCACAAACTGGCAGTACCCGAACACGTGGGAGATATTAATAGTAAAACATCTAAGTGAGGAGAAGGCTGTAATGGCTGGCTCCTCGCATTTACTTTCCTGGCACCACAAGTTTTAACGGTAACGGGGAGTCGGGCAAGAGGGAGAACCCCCCGGGATCAGACACAGGATCTTCCTAGCGAAAGCAGAAACAAAACTGAAAGGATGGGATTCAAACCACCTCCTCGACACAGCGCTGCAGGAAAAAGCATGAAATACCAGATAACAACCTCCAGTCATTAGTCACCACCTCTCTGTATTTCGTTTATCCATGGCCAGGAGATGTCCCAGCACTGTCCTCTGCTGGCTCAGCCCGCAGTGACCCTCCAGCCACCCCCAGGGCCCGTGGCAGCTTTGCAATCAGCACTGTCCTCTGCTGGCTCAGCCCGCAGTCACCCTCCAGCCACCCGCAGGGCAATCCAACCCCAATTTTGGGACAACATGTATCTAACTTTACCGATTGTGAAAAGGCAGGACACAGATGGAAATACTTCGACTAGAAACAAAAGGAATAGCGTGGCTCACTAAACGCAGTTTGATTAATCTCATTGCTCTCAGAAGTTCCCGGCATAATTAGAGTCTCCTCTCCAAGGTGTCTCCTCTCAGGCATCATCTCCCCTCCAAAATCTTAGGCTCCAATTTTTTTCTATATATTCAAAATTACAAACGCCCAGGATATCCCACGAAGTAAGATAATTATCTTTTATAAATACATACGACAGACTTACTAAGTGATGTTCCTCCAACTCCTCCCACAAATAGCTGCAAGATTACATCAGCATTTTCTGCTAATAATTACTGCTTATTTCTGGTCTGTGCGACACGGCACCGGCAGCGAGAAGCCGCGGGTGCGACAGAAGAGGGATGTGTTGGCTGGTGGGGCTGTCTCTGCCCAAAAGCCGTGTTGGGTTACAGGGGAACACACACACCAGTATCTGGGAGGGGGAAAAAAAATATTCGCACTGGGAAACAGCCCTGGAATTACTCAAGGATTTCTCAACGCCACAGGAGCAAGACCGTCAAAGGAAAAAAAAATATTACTTTTAAGGGATCTGAAAAGCGGAAGCATTGTTGATTATAATTAGCATGTAATCTGAAACGCCGACTATACGATGCAGCACACACGAGACGAGACAATTAGCATTTAATTAGGAGCTATGCTCACTTTCTTCTATCCACTTTGATAGCTAAAATGATTGCCTTAGAGTATCTCTCACTATTCTTTTGTTCATTTCCTTCCATGTAATTTCCATTTTCCCAGATTTGGGGGGCTTATTTTCTAAAAAAATTTTTCTTTAAATTTTTTTTTTAATACAAATGAATGGGAAGCTGATGTCTAAAATTTATTATTTGACAATAAAGCCAAATGGACTTATCCCAGACTGAAATACTTATCTGTACAAAAGACTCTCAACAGGTTTCCAAAAAGCCCAGGCCACACAAACCTACAAGCACGTGCGTGTGAACATGTGCAGTCCCATTAAAATCACTGTGATTATTTGTGCCTTTTGATGTCAAACATTTGGCCTAAAAGCTTAGCAGTTCTTAATTAGGCAAAAACTCCTCGGACCCAGTCTAAAATGGCATGAAGTAGCTTTATGGGTAGATTGGGACACGGTTGAAATGTTAGGGAAAAATAAATAAATTCTGACCAAGAAGAAAAAATTTAAGCTGAGTTAAACTCATACATTCCTCCCACCCACAAAGCTGAAAATCTGTCCTTGGAGCAGATGTTGCAAAGAAATATTCCCTCCGGTAACCCCAAGGAAGGCCACACACACTTCTTCTAAATTCTAAATGTCTGTTCCACATTTCGCAGACATGGAATGACAGTTCCCTTAACAGAAACTTCCAGCTTCAGCTCACAGCTGCTTACAGGAAGGCACAACAGGAAAAACCTTAATAAGCTTATCTAGAAGGAAATTTTATCTGGCATGTGAATTGTAACAATCTTATGCAGGGAATATCCTGGATAATTTTTACACGTAAAGATACCTGGATCCTAGGAACCTGGAGGAGATGGCATGTTGAGGGCCTTAATGCAGTATGCAAGCTTTGAGCAGAATTTTAATCTGGGACCTTCTCCCATCCCGGTCAGAGGAATGGGCTCAGGCAAAATCAGTGATTCTGGACCCAAGAGCACTCATCAAGAGCAGGACCTTCTCCCATCCCGGTCAGAGGAATGGACTCTGGATCCAAGAGCACTCATCAAGAGTGGTATCAGAGCCCAGGCTCCCATGAAGGCACAGAGAGAACAGGCAACACACTGGACCCAAGAGCACTCATCAAGAGCAGTATCAGAGCCCAGGCTCCCATGAAGGCACAGAGAGAACAGGCAGCACACACAGCACGTCTACAATTAACCATACAAACGAAGCAAAAGCCTTTCTCTAGAGGCCCCTTTCATTTTCCTTTAAGCTTCCTCTCTCCTCTTTCTTGAAAGCTCAAGGTTGGGCTTGGGGTCATACATTCAGCTCCCCATAACTGCCAAGATCCCCAGACTGGTCTGAAGACCACCATTTTTTAGGGTTCCCAAACAATACCATTTGCATTCAGCAAAGTACATGCCAATATCCTCGAACAAACCAAAGCCCCTCTCTCAATAAATACAACATCAGCTGGATGCAGACAGGCTTTATGAAGCATACCCTCTGTAGGAGAGCTGAATTTAGTCTCATTAACAAACGTAGATAGATCAGATGGTTGTGGGTAGTCCTGCTTGTCCGTGTTGAGGTCCACAGTCATGCAGGTCCATTTCTGACTGGTCACCGAAGACGCCAGTTTCTCCTCATCCGTCGCATGAACCACCGTGGAGATGACAGGAGGTGTTTCTGGAGTAGGCAGTGGAGTGGGATCCTGCAGAAAACAAGTGCCAATTAATTCTATTATCTTTCATTATCCCATTGAATAGTCAACTCCCTAAATTCCTCTGCACAATCACAGTCATCCACAGTCATGCTGGAGCACCTCTGCTATGAAAACAGGCTGAGAGAGTTGGGGTTGTTCAGCCTGGAGAAGAGAAAGTTCAGGAAGACCTTAGAGCCCCTTCCAGTCCCTAAAGGAGCTACAGGAGAGATGGGGAGGGACTCTTCATCAGGGAGTGGAGTGAGGGGAAATGGATTTAAACAGAAAGAGGAGAGATTTAGATTAGATATCAGGAAGAAATTCTTTGCTGTGAGGGTGGTGAGAGCCTGGCCCAGGTTGCCCAGAGAAGCTGTGGCTGCCCCATCCCTGGAGGGGTTCAAGGCCAGGTTGGAGGGGGCTTGGAGCAACCTGGTCTGGTGGGAGGTGTCCCTGCCCAGGGCAGGGGGGTGGAATGAGATGATTTTTAAGGTCCCTTCCCACCCAAGACATTCTATGATTCTCTGATAATGCTGTACTCTTTACTGCAACTCTGTGTAAAACACTTGATGAAAAATGTCAAAGTAATTCATTTAGAACTCCACCAGCAGCAAGTTTTCCTGGTATCACTAAACTCTTTTGATGATAAACACTCGCATTGCAAAGCTGCCAGATGATTTTTAAGGTCCCTTCCCACCCAAGACATTCTATGATTCTCTGATAATGCTGTACTCTTTACTGCAACTCTGTGTAAAACACTTGATGAAAAATGTCAAAGTAATTCATTTAGAACTCCACCAGCAGCAAGTTTTCCTGGTATCACTAAACTCTTTTGATGATAAACACTCGCATTGCAAAGCTGCCTTGATAACGAGGAAGAAAGAAAATCCAGATATTTTATATCTGTCAGGCACTTGACATAAGTGGCACCCACGACTAAAGTCTTTGACTACCAAAACCGACTTTTTAGGCTTCCCTCCCGGGAGCAGGTCGTAGGTCTGCGAGGCCATGAACCCTTTCTTCCCCTCTAGGCTGTCGAGCAGCAAAAATAAAAGGGCGGGATGGATAACAGGAAGAGGAAGAGCAGCATGGAAGGAGCTCGTGCCACATCAAAGCACTTAGGCCTTTGGAGGCAGAACAGCTTTTAACTTCTCTTCCAAGAAAACCACCTGCCGGCAGTTTATAACGAGGAATAAAACCATCCGAGCACATGTTCCTGGTAGACCAGCCCACCTGTTTGATTCCTATTTCCCTTCCAGCCCACAAGTTTGATGCGCTTAGTTTCTTACTTTCTATTTTTCAGACAACTGACTGAAGCTATTTATTCATATTGTCACCCTGTTGTAACATCGGACTTTCCAAAATAAATGCACTAATAGTCTAACTGGAATTTCCAAAGCAAATACTAGATCTAATATACATTGTATACTCACTTCAAGAGATCGAGAGTTTAATACCTTATGATTACAGCCCAGTGTGCTATACTGGAAAAACAATATGCTTATATTCTTTACAAAAACCTCTTCTATTATTAAATGTACAATTCTACAACTAAATAAATCAAATTTCCATTTTTTGCCCCCACAAGAACACTAATTAAATGTATCAGAATAAGGCAGTCCCTTACCTGAGAAGGAGGATCAGATAGTGGGGATCTCTTCGGTGATTTTTTCACCCTAAATGTATCACTGAAAATAAAGTTAAAAGCGTTAATATGGTAATACCAGCAAGAATCGGGTCATTTCACACTTAGCAAGAGACAGCCACAGACAATGCAACCTCTGTAAGCCCTTCTGCTTGAAAATCCCACCCATTAGGCAGCAGCACCACAGAGAAACATGCCACGGGTACATATTCTTGTCATGCACTTGGAACAGGCCTCAATTCCCCCAAAGCGGAGAAAAAGCAGAATTGCCATATTTTTTCATGCCAACTACCAACACGTTTACAGAACAGAGTTACTGCTTGATTGCAATTCAAATCCCTGCTGCACCACAGACATCCTCGGTGGCCTTAAGCAAATTATTTAGCTTCTGTTTGCTTTGGTTTCCCATCTGAAAATTAAGTCTAAACTGCATCTTTAAATGAGAATTAAAACGGTGATCATCTTGGGCAGCGAGCTCCACTGACCCCATAAATCATTAAGAAAAAAGCTGGTATGTTTTGGATGAGCTACATAAAAACAGGGGAGGCAGATGCTGTTCCCAAGATGCCAGAACAAAGCTCTGTCATTACAAATGTGCTCAAGGGAACCCCCCTCCCTCTTTAAAACAAATACAAGAGCAAATATGGCAATTCTGCTCCCAGTTCCCCCCAGAGCTCACAGCGCAGACTGGGAGCACGGACGCTGTTGCCCTTCCAGATCCCACAGGTTTCAGTCAGGCAAAAGGAATGAAGGATAAACATCATGTCTTGGTGTATAATTACAAATGTTGCCTTTATGTTTATTCACAATTGGTTCAAAATTGTGCCTAACAGGGAAATAAACCAATTATCCACCTGTTCTCTTGATGCATATTGCCAGAGTTATTCAAACACAGTTTTTGCTACTGACTAGAAGAGGGAAAAAATATCGTATCCAACCCGTCGATAAAGACCTAATGTTTGAACTGAGATGCAGTAGCAAAAATTATTGCCCACCAGCTCCTCCCTGATCAATGAACGGCAAGATCAGCGCTAGAAATTATAATGACGGGTTTCAATCAGTAGAGGATAAATCAATGCCACATCTAGAGGGGAAAATAAATTGGACAGCTGAATATTGGTGTGTCCGATACAACTAATTATCTAGTTATGATGCTAGAAGTAATAGGATAACTTATTCCTTTAAGAAGGAGAAACACTTTATGCAGTATTTACAAAAAACTGACCGTACAATGTTTGTTTACAGTGGTAGAAACAAAATGTTCGTATTTTAGCTCAAGGATACAAAATTTATATAGTTTTTAAGAGAAGATCTTTTTTGGTAGGCAAACAGATAATGAGGCAATAGATCCTCAAACTTATTCACAGCAAGGCATCTTAGAATAGCTTTCAAATGTGACAGTGAAGTGAAATAGTTAACATAAAAGCTTCATGCTGAATAATAACTGATCATGCTGCAAAATAAATGAGTAAAATTAAAAAGCCCATAAATCAAAGAGGAAACTTGAATTGTTAGCTTAGAATTACTTACAACAGAGAACATACAGACATCACATCTTCTACCATCCTAAGACAAATAAGACAAAGAAAAGAGAGACAGACAGAAGGAACTGACAAAAAAGATAAACCTACAAATACTGTTAATGTTAATGTGTTAAGGCAATCTCACCATGCATATTTTCTACCTGTATAATCTTAACATCTACTTTTTATTGTGAAATACATGGGGAGAAAAAAATATTCATCAAGTCTTTAATGTTTTCAAATTCAGTGCTATACTTTTGACATGCTTTCATCTTAGAAAATATATTGTTCAAAGCTAAGGCCTCTGAGTTAGGTTCCTATCAACATACTGAGCGTCCTTGCCTTCCCTGACAGCAGGCACCTGCTTTGTTTTCAAAACACGGCATTTGTTATTAAATGGGATGTAAAACTGTTCTTGAATGGCAGCTAAGCTTAAGGAAACAGCACAGTTATGCGAGGTTTTTTCATGTCTGCTGATTTGTTATGACAGTACAGAAAAAGCTACTTGACCCTTTCAAATCATTTACCTAAGTCAAGAATCAAATGACATTTCCGTAAATCTCATCTATTTCGGCTCTCACTGAAACCTAACTTTGTGTTCTGATAGAACAAACCCATTGCCACAAAACCAGAAGCAAACCTTGCCAAACAATTCAGGCTCAGAAAAGTTTTCCTCTACTTAGAAGCTTGGCAGCTTCTGCTCAGCTCTTCTCACATGCAATGCTCTGGAAAGCCAGCACCTCGGGTTTCTAAACACAGCCGCCTCCAATCACCCAACAGTTTCCAGAGTAATGTCTATACAAGCCACCTATTTTTATTCATCACTATAAGCAGAAACTCGGGAGGCATCAGCTGCTCCTTGTTCACTATCATCTGAGCAAGACGATCCACCTCAAAACAGCTCAGCACTTCGGTATCCGACCAGAGAGCAATCTGTGCCAAGTTGACATCTCTTCTAAAAATCTCATGTTTTCACATGGACATCAATGCTTAGACTGCTGCAAGTTTCACTCCAGAATAAAAACTGATTATTTTTATTGATTTAACACAGTTTAAGACCCAGCACATGGCACAGATTCAAAGCAGTGCAAGCTTGTATTAAAATTCCCTTCTTTCCCTCTGCACTTCCCCACTAAGATTCAAATTGTTCCTCTCTTGCAGTCAAGACTTTTAAGTCTTCTTGTTTTGGACAAAACCAGTTTGAACTGTAGGCTCAGAAAATGTGTCATCTGACCTCCTGCCTCAATTTCCCTGAAATTTCAGGAATACCTCAAAAAGAAGCAATATCAGAACAACTCCAACCCAACTATACAGTGTTCTATCATTTTCTAAGTCAGAAATGTCCCTGTTTCAAGTTATTTTCTTTTAAATACTGGAAGTCACTAGATAAACTCATCTTTCTGCCGTGTGCAACAAGAGATTTGTTGCTGCCTTACTATTTCATGTCCCACCCTCAAAATTCACAAAATAGTCTTTACTGGTGTGAATACTTTGATCAGATTAAACAGTATTCAATTCCCAAGATGAGGTCACAGAAAATTTGGCAGAAAATTGATTAAAAAAAAATTTGGACTTAAGCAGATTCACAGCTACACTGAGCCCCAAAACCTCAAAAATCCTATTTCCAGTCCAGTGGCCTAATCAGGCCAGATTTGACCCTGGATCTCCCCTTCAGTCTGAAAACGTTAAGCTGTTGAGGACACAAGTTGAGGGAGAGCATGTAGAGACCTCCCCTCTAAGCCCAGTTGTGTGGCTACCAACACCCAACAGCATCTTCCTTTCTCTGGTCAAATCTAACCCAGGTGTAACTGTGCTAAGGGGTAGGAATGTTCTTCTTCTAATCTAGAAACATCTTTGCCCTTTAACTTACGTTTTTAGTGGCGTCTTTTTCTTTTTTGCAGGTTTATTCAAGTTGTCTCCTTCGGTTCCGTTTGTTTCATTGGCACTGGCGGGTATCTCAAAGGAAGCTGGAGATTTGGAGGGTGAGCTGGCTACCTTAGAAGAAGACTTGAAAGGGTCAACAGAGTCCTCGCATGTGTCTGGCTCAAAACTGTATGTTTGTTGAGGCAGTTTGGGCGATTCTTGCATTTTTGTACTAGATGAAAACGGGTTAAAATTGGGATCATCCCACTTGTCAATATCAAAAGTGTAAGAGCCTTTTGTGATAGGGATTTCATTGGGATCAGGGGGTGACTTGGTTGGTGTCGTTGGGGCATTGTCAAGCTTCTCCACTGACTTTTTAGTCTTTGGCCTTCGTAGTGGCATTTTAGCACCAGGCTTTTTACCTGCTTTTTTGGGAGGAGGAGTGCCCTCCTGCTGGTCTTCGCTCACCCCTTTTTCTTCAGAATAATCGAACTCCAGCCTTACTGCAACGCCTTTGACCGGAGGATCTTCTTGTCCTCCGGTGTCAGGCGGAGTCACCTCCACAGCCTCTGGTGCCGTTGTAAGAGGTAGCGTTTTCTTATGGAGAGGGGGAGAGTTTTGTACTTTGCTGCCTCCGGTGCCAAACGCACTAATCCCTTCAAAACTGTCTGGATCCAAAGGGTGGGATCCTTCAGGCACAGGCGGGGCCTCCTGTTTCTCAGCAGAGATTTTAGAAGGTTCAGTACATTCGGGCTTCACTGAGTCAGTCTTTGCTTCAGGTACTGGTTTATCCTCACCTGGGGCACAAGCTTCTTGGCCAAGGTCAGATGGTTCTTGAGGTGTTTCCTTCACCGGTGGAGCATCCAGAGATTTTTTCGCTGACTGCTTCTTTTTTAAGGAAGCTGGTCTGGATTTCTTTGTTCTCTTAAGGGTACTAGAAGCACTACTGGAACCAGTACCGTACACATCTGCCGCCGGTGCTAATGTCTCGCTATTGCCAAGGTAAGACGCTCCATCAAAATCACTTGCCTGCAAGCTAAGAGATCGAGACAATGTAGATTTGGAAACTGGGACTGAATCGGTAGATTTTCTTCGAACATTCGCTTTGGGATCACGATTCTTCGATTCTGGAGAGCTCGGTCCTAAGGCATGGAGAGAATCAACCAACTCAATGTTATCGAAGTCCAAGTTGTAAGTTCCACTGCTGGCTATTGGCTTGTCCTCATCGAAGACGGTGGAGAAGGAATGGGAAGGGGGACGGAAAGGGCTTTCTTCAACTGATTCGCTCTGCGACACATCAGTTACAGGTACAGTTTCTGAACACAATCCTGTGGGAACAAACAGAAAAATGTAAATTTTAACCACATTTTTAAGTCTGGAGTTTAATAAATTTTACTATAGTGGGAACAAACAGAAAAATGTAAATTTTAAACCTGGAGTTTAATAAATTTTACTATGATCTAGTATTACTACAAGTGAAAAACATAAAGGGTGAAAATCATACAAATGGACTAAGCAATGATTAAAGGACATTCAAACCAAAGCGACATTTCCAATATATGAACTAGATTAGGGGAAAAAATTAGTTCTGTTCTCCCCAGAAAAGGATTCAAGGCAAGTTCCATGGTAACACAAAATATGTATTTGCAATAGCCTCTAGAGCATCTCTCCTAAACTAATTATCACCTAGTTTAAGAGACAGATATTACCATAACATGCAAACTAGGCCAGATACCAGAAACACTGAACGTTGAGCGGTTTATTACTCCTGTTTTATATTATTACAAAGAGTTCACAGAATTGTGTCAGAGCTCTTATGCAGTAAATTCCCTGTAAATTGACTGGTGCTTCAGCAATTACATGATGGTCTTGAGCATTGTTTCCCATGTGCTATTTTTACTGATTTCCCACAGGAACACGGCTTCCTCTCCACAACCCATCAATGCTGCTCCTCTCTCCGCCCCAAGCAGTCAACACACTCCACTTTGACCTCGTAATTCCAAGTTTATAATGAGCCATGAATCACTGAGATTGTCATATGAAATAAATTATGGTAAAGGTAAGAAAAATTAGTCAATTAGAGTACTGTACAAATATCCTTTAGTTGAAAATCTTCCTTAAAAAAGACCTCGAGAACTTCCTACAAATTATTTAAATGAGATTTCTCAAAGTGTAGTTCTAACTCATGGAAGTAAAGAAAATTTACAGAGACAATGCTATGCTGAAGCAGTTAAACCAAGCAGATTTTCATAGTAACTAAAGATTTGCTTATTGAATGGAATCCTAAAAAGATTTCTAGAAGTCCCTTCACTTGGAATAGAAATGCTATATTGGACAAAGCAGAAAACTAGACAGCCTATATATAAAAAAAAAAAAGAATAAGAAAATATATAGGTAGGAAAGGATTATGATGATGGTCCTTTCTGCCTTCCAGTTCAGAAAAGTTAATTACTAAAATGTTTTACAAATTCTGAGTGTGGTTTGTTCCTGCTGTCATGTACTGCTCCCTCCCTGAATGTAACACAGTCACCTCTGCCCATGTGTGCGTGTCCCAGTCAGGGAACTGGGGACCTGGGAAACCTGTCTCCAGCTCAAACTGGGTAAAGCAGCTGCTCTGAGCACTCACCAATATGTACTGGAGCAAAATGCTCCAGTATTTCCTATTAAAGCAACACAGCATTCTTCATGCTGTCAATAATTTTTAATTATGCAATTACAAAGAAAAATAGTCAAGCAAAAATTAATGCTTTTGTCATCCTTCAATGATTTCAGAGAAATTTCTACACATCTTTTTCATTCCGGTCGTGACATGTTTTGCAAAGTAATTCCTATTTTACCCAGCTACATTCATTAATGTTTTTCTTAAAAGCAATATGGACAATCAATAATTACTTTTAGTCAGAAGCTATGAATGCATTAAGAACAGAAGAAAAAAAAACAAAACATTTTTCCTTTGTTTCAGGGGAAATTATATGTCAGCATAGACAGTACAAGAATTATTATTTATGGATCTATAGGACAGAAAGGATTTAAGGAAATTGGACACATTTCCCAAAGCGGTACCTTAGAGTGGCACCTTGTCTTTCCAGGGATTGTCCAAGGAACGACAGCTCCGCAGTTTCTCTGTTCAGATTCTGGATGTTTATTGAGTTGCATCAATGAAAATAATATTTTAATGTGTTTTTCTGCTAAGTGAATGCTAATAATGTGGCAGTGCTTCAGGACAGCTTAGTTTTCTCTTTAACCTCCACTGCGTTGGGCTTAGTTTCAGCCTGGCTGAGTGGTTATTAATTAAGACTTGATTTGCCAGCTGGGCTGGTGCTCGCTTCCCTGGGACTTCTGCTAAGGGGAGTCAAAGAGTGGAAAGAAACTTCAGCATTAGACCAATCTGTGCGTTTTACAAGAAGAACGGAGGACAAGAAGAATGGGAATACATGACAGTAAACACTGGCACGGCTCTGGTATGTCAGCGGAGTACAAATGTAGGTCAGCATCAAATAAAAGGGGGATCTGAACAAGAAATCTTCTGCAATTATGCCTTGTTTTGGTTCCGGCGTGCACCAAAGGCCTCAATAGGACTGAGGCCCCTTGTTCAAAGTTAGTACAAACATGTATTTAAATGGAAAAAAAAATAAAGTAAAATAAACCAATGCCCTGCAGGAGTTGGCCTGTAAATAGCAGGCGCGGCAGAGCTGAGGCTGGGGAGGCAGCACAGCAGAGGGGGGAACATACAAGGTTTTCCAGCTGCTCAGAGCAAACCAGCCTTCAAATCTGGTGTGCTCCACGTAGCACAGGGCTTTAATCCCCTTTAATTGCTTATTTCACAACTTCCTCCTAATCAAACCCTTTACTTGGAGCGCTGATTTCTGCAGAACGTGGCTCCACTCGCTACTGTGACATTTTTATTGTCTCTTTACAGAACAATATGGGAAACTGCCTCGGAAAACATGGCTTTTGGTAGAACTGAAAGTGCTGCTGTTGGGCTCTTCCCACATTTCAACAGACTTGGCTCAGTAACGGCAGAATCTTCCTCCCTGGGGAGAAAGATATGAACGGGACTCACTCTCACAAAACAACACAGCTTTATGACTGCAAAGAGATATGAAGAACGTTCTTTCCTGACGTTAACAGCCTGTTCAGAGAGCTGTGCCATTTGTCCTTTCACACCCCAAAATTAGGCAAATCAGTGTTACTAACTACAGTATTTTATTAAAATGCAATTTGATCATAGAATCATAGAATGGTTTGGGTTGGAAGGGACCTGAAAGATCATCTAATTCCAACCCCCTGCCCTGGGCAGGGACACCTCCCACCAGACCAGGTTGCTCCAAGCCCCATCCAGCCTGGCCTTGAACCCCTCCAGGGATGGGGCAGCCACAGCTTCTCTGGGCAACCTGGGCCAGGCTCTCACCACCCTCACAGCAAAGAATTTCCTCCTGAGATCTCATCTAAATCTCCCCTCTTTGGATCGCAAAGGAAAACACTACAACGCAAGGTGTGAAAATTAAGGGAGGACTTGCTCTAGAGAGAGGCCAAGCACAAGGTTTTCAATAAGGTTTATGCCTTTTATTGGCGCTGACAGTCACCCACAATTTTTACCTGTAAGGGCTGCCCACAGGTAGATGCCAAGTTTTATAAAGCATTCCAAGGACATAAGCAATAGCAGGGAAACTTACATTGCCATAAAAAAAGAGGCATTTCCTGAAAAACTGTCCCATTTCATTAAAACAAAGGGTCCGAGTTCTCCTTCCATAAGGGAATTTCTCTCATTTCAGAGAATTTTTGCCTGGATCAAGTATGAAAAACAAAACCAATCCAAAACCAAACACAACAACAAAAGACCCCAAACTTCCTGTCATCATTTTCATCTGTCACTTATTACGGCACAAGCAAAAGCTGCTAGAAAGATATTATAAGACTGTTTCATTAATAACCAAAACAAATTTCTGTTGTTATTATCAACAAAAAGGAACCAAAAATGAAAACCCCAAAATTTTCCAGCAATATGGGAAACAACACCCTGGGGGATCCCGAACTGCATCGCGGGGGTGTGCTCTCCTGGGAAACGTTCACAAAAAGACACATTTCCAAAAACTTTGGGGGCAGCTTCAAGTTTGTTTTAAAGATATTTAAAAGAAAATTATATATCTGCACCAGCTCCGAGTTTATTGAATCTAAATCTGAACTATTTCTTTACAATTTCTGTTGTTATTATCAACAAAAAGGAACCAAAAATGAAAACCCCAAAATTTTCCAGCAGGATGGGAAACAACACCCTGGGGGATCCCAAACCGCATCGCAGGGTTGCGCTCTCCCGGGAAATGTTCACAAAAAGACACATTTCCAAAAACTTTGGGGGCAGCTTCAAGTTTGTTTTAAAGATATTTAAAAGAAAATTATATATCTGCACCAGTTTATTCAATCTAAATCTGAACTATTTCTTTATGAATAATGAAAATATATTAAGGGGTTAGGAAATAGAAAGTACTTCTAGCCACTTTAAAATATTTTGCAATTTAAATTACAAAAAATTCTTCTAGTGGTGGAGCTGCACTGAGTATTTTCTTCTTTGCTGAAGGATCTCTAAAACAGGGGAAAATCCAATAGGCTAAAAATAGAAGGCCTTAACACTGCTGAACTGGAAACAAAACGAAACGCTATTTTGAAAGGCTCAGAAACAAAATTTAACCAGATCTAATAAATCAAATATGGAAGAAATGAAATTCTAATTCTGTTTTCTAGAGGAAAAACAAAGCAAAACCCTTGGAGAATGCATACAGCATGGGCTCACGTTCTCCATTATCATCAAATAACTCAGGAGACAAGGACACTCTGCCCATAGTACATAGGAATTGGGATTAACTAGACATTTTGAAACACAGTTTATTTCAAGCTCCTGCTTCATATGAGAAGCCCTTGAACTTATGAAAGCAATTGGTAATGATATTTTAAAAATTACTGTAAAAATACTTTTGCCATTTATTCTGAGAGAAAACTTTGGATACCAAGCTTATTTTCCATTTCTAGAGGAAAAACAAAGCAAAACCCTTGGAGAATGCATACAGCATGGGCTCACATTCTCCATTATCATGAAATAACTCAGGAGACAAGGACACTCTGCCCATAGTACATAGGAATTGGGATTAACTAGACATTTTGAAACACAGTTTATTTCAAGCTCCTGCTTCATATGAGAAGCCCTTGAACTTATGAAAGCAATTGGTAATGATATTTTAAAAATTACTGTAAAAATACTTTTGCCATTTATTCTGAGAGAAAACTTTGGATACCAAGCTTATTTTCCATTTTTCTGTGTCAGGCTTCAAGAGGAAAAAACACTGAAGAAGAACGTTTTCCATCCCAAAAATTCGGTTTGTTTTCGTCTGGCTCATCATCTCTCTACTGCAAAGCCTGACCTCAATTTCCCTGGCACAAGGAAGACCTCAATATAGGTCTCCCATATCCTGAGAGACCTGTGAGAGCTGGAGTCCCATCTATGCATTACAGCTCTTGCATCTCCCCTGTGTATAAAATCTGAATTCATTCATTAAATGGGGAAGGCGGCTGGGGGGGCAAAAGAAATGCCCCTGACCAGACAGGAATTCCTGGCTAGAAATGGCATTTGGGTTTGTACCCATTTCTGGGGAGAATTTGGGACACTTTCTGGTGCTCAGGTGGCTGGAACATGGAAGAAGAGGACACTGCTGTGAGAAGCTGATGAGACAGGCAACAATCATTTAAAATACTACCAAAATAATAAATAAATAAAAACCATTCTCAAAATCATTTGCCTCAAGAGTATAACCCGTGTTCCCCACAACATATGAAGCATTTACAGAGTAGTGGAAGGGCTCATTAATGACACTCTCTGGGGTTCAGAGGTAGTTTCTATCCATGCTCTGTTGCTCCTCTTCCCCTCCAGACTTGCCCCCAGACTGACCCCCCCTTCTTTTGCTCTGTTGCTGATGGACTGGAGCCACGCGGCAGGTTTTACCCCACCAGGAGCTGGCACAAGCCCAGGATGAGTCGAGCTATATTTCACTTTCATCATATTTATTAAGCAAGTGTTGAAGTCAACCTAATTAAAAACTCTCCTCTTGGCTTTCCAGCAGTGGGGTCCAGCTGTTGCGCTAATGATATCATGCAGCATAACTGCAACCGTCTGCAGGAGTAATTATTGTCAGATATAGATGAAATAATCCTTTAAAAAAAAACTTACTATGCTTCCTCCTTCCACCCAAGCACACGCTCCGTCACCAACCTCATGCAGAAGACAAAGCCGTGCAGCTGGTGAGACCCAGCTGGACGTGGCTGCCTCTCCCCATGCCTGTGCCAGGTCTCTGGCTGCCCCTATTCCTTACTCCTTTTTTATTGAAATCTATTTATTTAGCTGTGTGGTGCCAAGGAGGGACCCTGCTCCAGCTGCCCATGACCTGGGGTCTCATTCTCTTTGCGTGCAGCCACACACACAACCTACAAGGTACGTGAACTACAAGATAACTGCTATTCAAGTGGCTTATAAAGTACAAAATGTTTAACTGTTCATATTTCTGAAGAATCACAGAATGGCACAGGTTGGAAGGAAGCTCTGGAGATCATCTAATCCAACCTCTCTGCTGGAGCAGGTCCACCTAGAGCAGGCTGGACAGGAACATGACCGGGTGGGTTTTGAATGTCTCCAGAGATGAAGACCCCACCACCTCTCTGTTCCAGGGCTCTCCCACCCCCAAAGGAAAGAAGTTCCTCCTCATGTTTAGATGGAACCTCGTATGTTCAAGTTTGTGCCCATTCCCTCTTGTCCTGTCGCTGGGCACCACCAAAAACCTGAAAAAGAAGCCTGCAAACACCTAAGCAATATTCTTAGTACCATTAATTTCTTCTAAAGTTTTCCAAAACAAATGAATGCTTTGTGTTGCCCTCCTACATTCGAATTTTTTCTGCATTACACATCTTCCTTCCCGCACATAAATTACCCCATTGTATAACTGCATTTTGCATCATTTTGAATTGCTGACCATAGCTCCGTTAGTTTGTGGTAACTTGCCTCCCATGGACAAATCTTTTTTGCAAATGAAACATTTTCATCTCTGCCATCCATGGCCTTCAGTGTAGTTCACGTGGTTATGAACAGACACAGTCAGTTCCCTACCTTCCTTAGAAATACGGGAAAGAAAGGAGGGGGAGATCTGGGATGTTGGGAGATGAGACTCACATGTGCCAGGGAAGCACATGTGTAATCAAGGGTTTGAAGATAATCTACTGCAGTAATTAAAAACACACTCCAATCCTGTTCAGCACATGCCTTCTTTTGTTCTCTCAGCACTTATTTTGTAATCACTAGATTGCAAAAGATTACAAAAAGGAAAGAAGATGGAGAATGAATCACGTTGTTTGCTACAATGAAGCGGGAACTGTAACAGCAGAAAGGAAAGTCTCAGCATTTCATTTTTATTTTCTCGAATCAGCTTGTTGAACGTCTTTCTAGCTTCTTATAGACTCGTATCATAAATCACAATCTTAATATGCATTCCTTAGTGCGCAAGTCCCAGAAATGTGTTAGGTGGCTCGAGACATTTGCTAGACTTATTTGTCACTTTCCCAAAGGTTTAAATCAAAACTTGTATAACAATGATGTCAAGTTTAAAACAAAGCCTTTATAATACACACACTGGCCCTGGACATGGCCTTTGTCTGCTGCTAAACGTACCCACTTCTACACTGGAAACTAAAGCTCTAAACCACTGCCAGGCAGTGCCAAAGGAAATACCAGTCAACTCTAGTCTGCTTAGAGTAAAATTACCTTTTATAGGATTTAGCCAGGTGATCAAGATGACACGGCTTTCAGATGGGAAAAAAGACAGCATAATGAGGAATTCAGTCTTAAAATGTGGAGCCGTCACCTGACAGCCCAAACAAAGCTATTTTGGGCTAATAAGAGTGCTCTCTACTCCCTCATATTCCATTAGTCAATTTGGAGAACAAAGAACATTTTTTGGGGGAAAGGATTTCTTTGGTTTTTTTAAAACAATATGCCTTTTCTAAAGGTTATTTTCCCAGTGTATACAAATTTTCATGTATGTGTATTACACATCCAATCACACATACTCCCATGTTCTTCCTAGAAAGCTATTACAGATATTTCTATTATTTCAATGGGTTTTTTGTTCACCTTGTGTTTCAGGTGACAATACATTTGAAAATAACATTCTGTTAATTGTCACAGCTAATGGGGCTCACCCAGGTGCCTGCATCTCTCTCTCACACCTCCTTTTTCCACTCATCTGACTCTCTAAAGATCCTATAATTCTGAGAAGAGGGAATGAAGCCTGATTCAAATGGAAGAAAGGTTTTTCTAGAAAGCTCCTCTTTTCTTTATTATTTATCAAATGTTAGGGATGATTCTCCAATACTTTATTCCAGGAGGCAACTGGGTTTTTCCTCCCAGCACGGATAATGCCCAGGAGACACTGACTAATCTTCCAGAAGACATTTTATGGGCATCAGTTCCTTGCCTGTGCTTACACAAACACCTCCCCACAGGTTTCCCTGCCCCAGTCACCTGCCCCACTCATTACACGCTTGTTACCTGTGTCTTCCAAGGGCAGCTGGGGTTTTATTTCTTGTTCTGCTATGTCTGCTACAGCCGCTGCTGCTGCCGCTGCTGCCGCTTCAGGGGGTGGCTGTGGAGGTGAAGGTGGTGCCTTTACTGGTGTGGTGGACTCCGGGGTCTCAAAGGCTTCTTCAGAGTCAGAGCTCCTGGGGAAAATCAAACGAGAGACTGGTGAGCAGAGGGAAGGTTCATGCTTGCAGGTCTACTTGGAAACGTAGGGCTTTCTGAGCTGATGGCATCGACCTCAGCTACCAGGCTACCTCTGCACTTCCCAGAGGAGATTTGACACTGCAGTGTGGTCTCCAGAGCACAATATGAGGGCCATGGTCTTCCCTGTATATAAGTCTTTATGTCACTTATGACTTCTTTGTGTTACAAAAGCAAACACACACAGAGGAATAAATCTGCAGACCCTGCTTTCCAGTGGCTTGACCAGACAGACACCACCACTGACACCTCCGTGTCAGTCTCAGAAACTGTCCCTGGCAAAAGTGCAGCTAGATCAACTAAAAAAATAATAACGATCTTAACAGAATTTCATAGATTCATCAAAAACCCCATCTAAAACAGCATCAAGTTTCTGTGTGTGCTCCCACAGGTGAGAGCAGACGTGGAGCAAATCCTTGTGCATCCTGCTCCTGTGGAAACACCACACTCTGCTTTTAGCAGAATTTTACCACAGCCCCTTCTGGACAGTAACCATACGGGTTTGTTACACGAGGTAAGACAACCTGTAAAACGCACCAGAGTCCGGGTATTGTCAATAATCCTTTTCTAGCACCGTGTGCTCACACAGACACAAAAATTGTAGGGACCACGATGGGTTGGTGCCAGCCCAGCCAGGAAACAGCAGCACCCAAAACGGAGCTATCTAAATTAAAGGCAGCAACTGTGCAAAATCATCACGTGAAGATCTAAACCACCACACCGTTTGCTCTTACAGCAGGATACTGTCCTTCCTGATCTGAAAACTATAGATCTTACTTGTCCTTAAACTAAGGCAGAGACTAAATTTTACCTAAATTTTAAAATATTTCCTCTTTTGGGGGCAAGGAATGCAGTAACAATGGTGTCATATTCAATATGCACTAAACATATGTTCAATAAGCACTTCTGTTGCTCAGATGCAGATTTTTACTGCTGGTCTATAACAAAGTGCATTGAATATGACAGTTTCCTAGAGGACAGGACTGATTTGCTTAATTCCAGCAACTCTTTGCATGGCCGTGGTCCCCACTGCTCCTCACGGCTGTCCCCACCCCACACACCAGTTCAACGGGGACAAAATTTGCCATGAAATTAAAAGCTGTTTCATCCCCCAGCAGCACCCCACAAACCTCCCGGAATCAAGGGCTCCTCTCGATTTCTTCAAGTTAAAAGATAACTCCGAGCTGCCAGACTCTGTGGTTTCTCAAGCTCGTGATTATTTTAAGCAGCTCAATGTCAGGAGAAGTAAAAGTACAGGATTTGCATTTGATTACATTTGCCTAAATCTACCGCAGCGTGAAGCCTTCGGGGAACTGGGGAAGAAAAGACCCCGCTGTCCCCCCTGACAGCTTGAGGAGCACAGAGGACCTGATTCTCCCTGGCTGTCCCTGCAGAATCCCAGCGAGAGCCACCACCTCCTCACACCCCTGTCTCATCACCTCTCCTCCTGCTAAAGGGGTTTTACAAGCTTAGAATATATGCCTTAGAGATTTTTGGAGATTTTTTTTCTCCCCAAACTTACGTCGCTGCCTGCGGAACTGCTCAAAAATCCTGTGTTTGGCTTTCAATTAAATCCATTGCTGCAGCTCCTCAAAATACCTTCTTCGTGCCATTGCTTAAACCATCCTCATTCATCAAGGCTACAGAACAGCCAGGCTGGAAGAGGCAGGTTGCAGCATTTTAAATTATATCCCTTCAAAGATGCACCATGTGTTAAGTTCAAAATATTTAAAGCTTAAGAACAGCTGCAAACAAAGAGCTTCTGTAAATAAAGCTGCACAATAGGTATTCAGCAAAATAACACTTTCTTTTCCTGGTTCAGGAAACTTTTAAGTTGAAGTATCAAAGAGTAGTGTGATATTTTCCCAGTAGAGAAATGCTTCTTGTGTCACTAAAAAAACCCCTAGAAAGTTATCATCTAAACCAACAAAATGAAAGGTAATTCACATCTCTTAGGCTTTCACATAATTCTGCACTGTGCTGCACTTAATTAATGCTTTACACTATTTTGACCCCAGACTGTTGTTCTGTAATACTGAAATAATAATGGTTGCACATGTTTAGAGCCCTTTTTCCAAACTGTATAGCACATGTAACAGATGCAGTAAATTTATAGACATATATGATCTAACTGGAATTGTAAAAACACTGTTTTCATGTCCTGCTTATATTCTTAACTGCTTTGTAAAAACTGGCTTGATGAAGCAGTTCTGCGTCCTCCTTCTTAAAATGATGGAGAGACTCTGTGCACGTTTAAACCCCCTTTTAAATGAGATGCCTTTTTTAACTTGGTCTCTTCCTTGAATAAGTTGGGCATAAGCATTTGATGTAAAGAGAAATATCTGGTCTTTTTTGTTCTCTGTATGAGCCTCCACCTTGGAGAACCTCCCAGGTCTGTGGACAGAGAGTTGTGGCGCCCAAGTTCCAGGACAAGGCTTTGTTATCCTAATATTTAATAATCCCTGACAAATTCTGATGCAATACTCCTAATTTTCAGCTGCACCCCTCCATCAGCAGCAGTAGAATCAAGACAGAATTGTCTTAACCGTAATCCAAATGCTGCTGAGTTTATGAGAAGCAATCGTGCTGGCAAAATACGGTATTTAACAAAGAAATATGAAGGGAAGCTGAATACCAGAAAAATTTTCTTTGTCATAGCCTGGGATCTGGGAGAGAGCATAAAGCCTGGAAGCACATTCCAGGACTATGCTCCAAGGTCCACAATACATATATCCTGGAAAAATGAGATCCTGTGTTCAGTTTTCCTTAGTGAGAACACGGATGGTCTCTCTTGCACGGGGTATTTTTAAGAATTCTTACAGTTCCAAAGTAGGACTGTAAAGATTTTCCCAGAACAACAGGATTTCCTGTGAAAAGGAAATTACATATTTCAGCCAGTTCTATTCATAATGTCTTTTCTCTGAGAAGTACATGGGATACGTGGAAAGAAAATAAGGCTGCCGTGAAGTCCGCGGTGTTCAAACCAGATTGCCAAAGTGCGATACGCCGTGAGAGTGGGCACCAGTTCAAAGCTGTGAGAGGAGCAGCCACCCCAGATCCAGCTGTGGGCAGGCTCTCACGAAAGGCAGAGCCCTAGAATCATCTAGATTATTATTCTGAAGCTCCAGCCAAGGATGAAGCAGGGGGAGATGGGACACATGGGTCTGAGAGATGGACAACTCCTTTGCTGACCCCAGCTCGTAACGTTGTGGAGTCGGGGCATGGAAATGCAGAGCCTGGGGCTGCAGGGCTAGTTTTTTGGGAAGGAAGTAAAGGCTACAGGAAGGAACACATATTCACTCATCCTTTTAGCTTGGGAAATTAGCGAGAGCTTGCCTTGATAGCGTATTTCACACCTTTCCATCTGTATCCTTTGGGTTTTGTACATAACAGGCAAAAAAGGTGTAGATTGTAGAAGCTACAAAATAATTAGGCGACAGTAACAGAGCACAAAACGACTAGAAATATTCTTTCAGTCCATCTCTTTCCTCTCCCTTCTCAAAAAATGCCACTAAACAGTAAATGTAACTCATGCAGATGGGGTCGAGAAGCAGGGGAGAACCGAGAAACCCAAGAGTGATCCTAGTCCAACACAACTCTGGCAGCATCACAGCAGCTGGTGGAGCAGGAGCACTCCCCCTTCTCCACTGGGAACTTTGAGGTCTTGCCCAGCTCGTTACATCAATCTCCGGAGGAAATACTGAAGGGAATCACTAGGGTTTTCTCCTCTTCACCTTTGCCCTTGCGGAAATCCAGCCTCATAAGTTACATTCCCCTTTTTTTTTTTTTTTGTGAACCACAGATGCTTACAATTTTAAGTCCTCTCTGATTTCAGAATGAAAAATTGCCTTTTGGTCACCATAGCTGGAAAGCGCTCAGTAAGCAAGAATGGGATTTCTTCGTTCCACTGCCTCCCCTCACTGTTTGCCCTCTTCAGGCACAACAGCCACCGAGGTGAGGTCATCCCAGTTGTCACTTAGAAACTCGATTCATTAAAAAGTAGTTTGCAACGGAGCTGTGACCTTCAGCTGCATCGGGAACCCTGCCATCTGCCTCGGGTGCTTCCAATATTTACACTACAGCCGTACAACCAATGCAACTCACTCTGCACTCTGGTTTTATTCCATGGCAATGACAGGGATCCCTAGATCCTCTAAATTCTGCCACTGAACCGCTGCACGTACGTGGTCCTGGCCAGTTCACTTCTGCATCCCCCTCCTTGGCCTTATCCACTGATGTTGGGCTCTCCTCATGGCACCCACAGCTTCTTGCTGTGGACATACACACAGTCCAGAGGGGGAGAAAGACTGCTCAGTACACATTACATTTGAGGAGGTTTTTTCTTCTGTTTAAATAAAATTCAGTGACAGAAAATCTCTTGATACCACAATAAATCACCTTGTGGTATCACTCAGATGGCAGTTACACAGCTCTCTAACACACAGATTCATAGCATCTTTTTTCCTTTTTTTTCTCCAGACCCTTTCAAACACAGCTCTGGATCATAATTCAAAATCACCAAGAGAGCCCAAATGGTAATTCCTTTCCTGGAGATCAAGTTCCCAGTTCAGGCCATCAGCCATTAGCTGACCCCAGCGCCTGCTCACAGGGACCAGGAACATGCTGCAGTTACAACAAAAGGTCATTTTTCATTCCCAGCACTAGGGGAGGATAATATCAAAGATGTGTCAGCTTTGTGTGCTATCATTTTTGTACGGTATTTGCATACTCAGTGACTTCTAGTTAACATGACATTCCACGTTAATTAGCCTCTTGTAACATGGCAATCGTTCGCGGTGTCACTGCTCACCTACAGATTTTGAATATGAAATAACATTTTTTAGATTTTAATATTCCATTTGTATGCATTGTCAACAGATCAAAAACCGAAATAATGGTAGATTCATCTGGTTATCTTAGGTACTAGATATCAATATTT